TGAGGGGGTGGGGGGAAGCAAATGTTGTTTAATAATGAATAATGATGTAAAAAATAAAAAAAATTAATATAAAAAAGAAATAATACTGTGAATGAGCACTCTTGCACTTATCTTTTTTTTTTTTTTTCACTTACCTTTTGATGTTTGTTCACTCATATTTGGGGGGCTACTTGTTGGATTGAATAACTTCAGAAAGTAACCATCCTGGTGAAGTTGCAGTGGCATCTCATTGTGATTCAAACTGCATATTTCTAATCACTATGGAAGTTGGTGATCTTTGACAGCTTGGATAGCCTCTTTAGAAAGATTAAGTACCTAATTCATTTACAACTGGATTATCCATCTTTTTTCTTATTGATCAGTGGGCTTTGAAAAAAAATGTATTCATGATGGAAGCCCTTTGGAGCATAAGAATGGCAAATAAATTCTTCTGGTCTGTGAAGTTGCCTTTTTTTCACTTTCGTAATTGTGTTTTATGTTCCTAACTTTATGGAGTGCAATTTATCAGTCCATTCCCTTAGGGATAGTGCCCTTTGTATCTTCTTTAAGAAATATTTCCTTGTTCCAAGATCACGAAAATATTTTCCTGCATTATAGTCTTCTTTTTTTTTAAAGACATTTAATATTTTATTTTATTTATTTTTTTAAAGATTTACTTATTTATTTATTTATGCAAGCACTGGGTACAGTCAGAGCACTGGAGGGTGAGAGAATTCACCAGAGCCAGAGCGGGGAGCAGAGCAGGCAGAAGGACCGAAGTACACTGCTGAGGGGAGCAGCGGGCGGCAGGAGAGGTCTGCGCGCCATGTGGGACCCTCCCCTGGTGGCAGGGAAGCAGCCAGGGATCGAACCTGCGCTGCAGAGGCCGCGGGCAGCTTCGCACCCAGCGCTTAACTACTGCGCCAACAGGGAGGCCCTATAGTCTTCTTTTTAATCTCTGTCCATATGTACTAAATTCTGAGTAATTTCTTCAGATTTATTTTCTGATTTACTAGTTTTTTCCAGCACCTTCAAATTAACATATGCACTTCAAACTAAAATACTGTGGAAGGATTTTCATTTCTAGACATTCCATTTCCCCCCCAATTCTGCCCGGTCATTTTTGACAACCTCTTGTTCCTGCATTGCCTTTTCAAAAATACGCTTGATTTCTTTAACATATTAAAAACATTTAGTGTCTATTCTGTGCCTAAAAATTACAGAATCTTCAATCATTACAAGTGTGATTTTTATAGCTTGATGTTTCTTTCTGCTAAAATTTTCTTATGGTGGTGTAGTTCCTTCTAATTTTAGAATTGTTTTCTATGAGCTCAAGCATGTTTGAATTTTATCCATGGGAATCCATTAAAGCCTGAATTTAAAGTATGTTTTTCCAGAGAAAAAATTGTACTTGCTTTTCCCTAGAAACTCTACTACATTGAAACCACTTGAAATGTTTGGCTTTTTTTGTCCCCAAAAGTTTAAGGGCTTGGAAATCTCTAGAGACTGTCCTATCCCTTTCCTTCCTCTCTACCCCAAGGTAAGACCTATTTGGACAAATATCCTCATTTTTCTCTTTTACTCACGAAGAGTGTTGCCTTTTGGGAATCCCAGCTTTATGACAGGGTCTCTGATCCAATTTCCCATGTTGTATGGGCCCCAGGCTTTGTCTCTTGTGCTCAAATTTGACCTGCTAAAACCTTGATCTTGAGCACCAAAGTCTCTGCAGATACCAACAAGACAACACTGGCTAGTGCTGGCTTATCATTTTTGGTTTTACACTTCCTTATTCCTTTCCCTTACTTTTATGCCAGCCCAGCAACACATTAAAAATATGCTTTTTTAATATTTTACCCATAATTTAGAGTTTCTGTACCCGGAGTGTTTCTCTGCACATGTCAAAAATGGTCAGGCAGAATTCATCATATTGTCAGAAATGGAAATCCAATAAATTTTCTAAGAATATGTCACTCATTCAGGATCCCTGTGAGGTAGGTAATTTCTTTCTTTTTTTTTTTTTAAAGATTTATTTATTCATACAAGAATGGGGTACAGGCCAGATGTGCAGGGGGGTGAGAGGCTTCCCCAGAGACAGAGTGGGGAACAGAGCAGGCAGTCTGACGAAATACACAGCTGAGGGCAGCAGCGGGCGAGACAGGAGAGGTCTGCCGTGCCATGTGGGACCCTCGCCAGCCGGCAGGATTGAACTGACTCTGCAGAGGCTGCGGACAGCTTCACAGCACCGCGCTCAACTGCTGCGCAATCAGGAGAGGCCCAGAGGTAGGTAATTTCTACTTCAAACAATCAGTCAAGTGTGTTTTACAAACCCAAGTATTCTCTTTCCTGCTCTGTTTCATGTTTGTTTAGAGTGTCCTGGAGAAAATCCTTCCATAAATTGTGTAGCTAACATAACTGAGCACAAAGTGAATGAAAGCTTTGCAAGAATAGAGGTTATTGTGCTAAATAATGAGACAGTGACCCAGGGCCACGTCAAGTCAGGAGGAAATAAAGCCTCTGGGAGAACAGATTTTAAACCCCATTGATTCCCTTCTATCAAGATCAGAGCCACCTTTGTTCACAGTTGTAATTTAGGAAGAATGAAGAGTAGTTTCAAACTGCATGATCTTCCTGGCTTGAGATGTAAATTTAAGTGAGGAAGATATTGGTAAAGTAGCCAGAGGGGATAGATATTTCAACATAGATGCTTTGTCAATATAGGTCTTTGTGGGCGGGTTTTGAACAATTCCAGTTCTGACTTTGTACAAAGATCATCCTTATAATACTTAGAAGAAAAATAGCCTCCAGTAAAGGTGGTGGGGGATGAAGGAGATCCTGCCAATATCTATGTCTTTTAAACTGGAAAGAACACTTTTCTCCAAAGGGCGTTGAGAGGCCAACATATAATGACTGATTTAGTATATTTGCTGTTCGTGGAAGGTCGCTGTTAACTCTGGCTTCTCTTTATTATGCACGAGACCAGTGCCTTTCCTAGGTCTTCGTTGTCTTCTTCTACTTCCTTTTTTTTTTTTTTTAATATTTATTTATTTATTTATTTTTATTTATTTATTTATTTTTGCATAGAAGAACTGGGAGTAGGTCAGAGGTTCAGGGGATGAGAGGATTCACCAGAGACAAACTGGGGAGCAAAACAGGCAGATCTACTGAAATACACTGCTGAGGGGAGCAGCGGGGAAGACAGGAGAGGTCTGCTGTGCCATGTGGGTCAGCCCTCTGGCTAGGGATTGAATTCAGGCCATAGAGGTGTTAGCACTGAGAATTTAACTCCTGTGCCACCAGGGAGGTCACCAGGGAGGCCCCCTCCCTCCTGGGTCTTCAACAAGCGTGTCGTTAGTAACACACCCATCACGTCACTGGGGTGTTTCTAATAGCTGATTTCTTGGGAGGATTTGCAAGGTCAAGATCTCATAATAAGTGACACTGACTTTCAAAAAGGGTTATCCAGTTTTCTCCCCAAGTCCCTCTATGGCTTACATACAACAGGAACCCCAAGAGAATCTTTTCACCTTGGATCGTGCAATCATCAAAATACAACCTCATATTTCCATAATTTTTCACTAACACCATTCCCGCCCCCTCCATGTATCATCTACCTTTCCAAGCACAGGTAGATAGATATTCCTTTCATAGAATGTATGAGGGTCTCACCTATCAAGGTCAATGGCATATTTTTATGATGACCTTTAAAAGCTACAGTCTGTCCTGGTCTGCTTATGTCTGGGGAAATAATGGTGGCATGATATTGCCCAGGGACATGTGGTGGGACTGCTCAGGAGGGTGCCTCGCCTCCTTGGCCAGCTGGTGGAGTAGTACATCCGTGTATGCCTGGCTGTGCAAACAAGAGGCGTTTTGCTGACTGGCACAGCCCACATCTGGCAGCCTTCCCAGTGCCAGTGACTTCTGAGGATGAGATGTAATCCTTCCTGGCAGGCTCGGCCTGTGCCAAAACTTGGGGGGTTATAACCGAGGTTTGCTTTAACCTCTGGTTTATGCTCCTGCACTTCTTGTCAGAGAAACTCAGGCCCTGACAGCTTTATATTCACCTGTCTTGAGCACATTCATCACGGCTGGCGCCCTCCCCAAGTCCTATTTAAAGTCTGCATCTTTAGAGAGTATGTCTGTATTTTCACAAGGACCTCAGAATGCTAGGGCCCCTGCCAGGCGCCGTGCCATGAGCTGTGGTTTCTGGGTTGTGTGACATAGAGTCTATTTTCACCCATCTTGGGCCCCACCCAGAGGTTCTGACCCACTGGAGCCTTAATATAACTGTCGGGTCATTTAGGACAACCTGATTTACTCGGCGGGTTCTCCTTCCACATCTTTACTGTGGAGGCTGTTTCTATTCCTGTCACCCACCATAATTTTTGTAATTTTTTTTCATGTTGAGAAAGCCTTGGCACCTTCATAACCTCTCTGCTTGTTCAGTGGCACTGGCCTTTAGTTCCTGCTTTGTCCCCACGGTGCCCTCCCACCCCCTAGCTGTTGGGCAGCTCCTCTGTCCTTCAGGTCATCTCCTGCAGTCATAGTCACAGAGCCTGCAGCTCAGGGGCTGACCCCTCGCTGTGCTGGGGGGAGCTGATATGGGGCTAGGGAGGCAGAGTTCCTCAGAGGGGGCTCACTTTCCCAGCACCCCCAGCAGCCAGCCTGGGAGTAGGGGGCATAGGAAACTCAGGCTCCACCAAGAAGAGATAATATATTCATCAGTGAGGAAGAGTCCACAGCAGTTCTTTTGGGGGCCACTTGCCAGCTGGAGCATGGGGGCCTGTGATTGCCCCAGCAGGGGTTACGGGACCAGGCCGTCTGCTCACTGGTGAGGGGGTGTGCCATGGGGACACAGGGAAACAGGCCGCATGGTGGAAGGGCACTCAGGCGTCTGCACACTGGCGCTCAGAGGGCTGTGGGCTCCTGCAGGCCTGTAACTGTCAGGCTTCTTGGCTGAGCTCTAGGAGGTAAGGGGGAAACCAGGGGCTCGGAGCCCTAAGAACAGAGAGAACAGAGGGCTGCGCTGGAGACTCGGTAGGAGCCTCAGCAGTCTTTTGTCTTTGAGGGGATGTGGGCTGGACCCTTAGCCCTGTGGGGCCAGCGGGCAGCAGCCATGCTCACCACGTGAACAAGAGGGTGCAACTGTGCTCCAGTTAACCTTTATTTACAAAAGCAGGTTGGGTGTGCTGGGTTGACCCACGAGCTGTAGTTTTGTCAACCCTGAGCTAGAACACTAACCTTGCAGGGTCCCTGGGGTTAGTGCTTGTACCACCAGGGAGAAAGAAGACAGCCTTCTGACTCACTCTTGCCACACTCCTTCAGAGGGAGAGGAAAGAGATTTCTCAGAGAAGACTAGCTCGTCTGTTTCTAATCACTCTAGTGACCAATTTGCATTCTCTACCTTAATACTCAGTTCCCCCTTGGCCAATGTAAGCCTCCACATGCACAGTCAGCTCTGGGGAAGTGGTCCTCACCATCATGGCCTCCATGCGCCCTCAAGTCATGGGCACCTGGGATGGAATGGGTACAAGCTAACCAAGCATTCCAACTGTCCCTTTTGTTACAGGACAGGGAGAGGGGCACCCCAGAATCCCCAAGCCTGCCTTCTCTAAATAGGTTCTGCCATCCGCCACGTCAACACAAAACATATAGACCTTTAATGGAAAGGAAATTTAATACAATTAGTGTGCAATACAGACAAGACAAAGAATATAGTTTTCAAATCAAGCACCTGAAGTTACCCATCCCCCCCATGGTAAAAGTCCACCTGAACAATTGGCCCAGAGCAAGGCCCGAAAGCCTGCCACAAGCCTAAAGCACCTTCCAGTGGGGAACCATAGAAAAGAGTCAGAAAGGGCCTCCCTGGTGGTGCAGGGTGGTTGAGCGCCACACCGTGAAGCTATTTGCAGCCTCTGCAGCGCAAGTTTGATACTGGCTGGACGGCAAGAATCCCACTTGGCGCAGCAGACCTCTCCTGTCTTACCTGCTGCTCCCCTCAGCAGTGTGTTTCGTCAGTCTGCCTGTTCTGTTCCCCACTTTGTCTCTGGTGAATCCTCTCATCTGGCCTGTACCTCAGCATCTGGCCTGTACCTCAGCACTTGTGTAAACAAAAAATACATCTTAAAAAAAAAAAAATAGGTCAGAAACAGTCAGATAAGTCTGGGAGGAGAAGAGCAAAATCAAAATTAAGAGAAAAGTCACCATTGTTAACCTCCCCACGGGTCTCTCACCCACATCTGTTTCAAACAGTCCAGGACCAAAAACCAAATGCAGCTTCTTTCCATGTCTCTCTGCTCCACGTGCCTCCTCCAGGCCTCCTCCTTGTTCTCCATCCTCCTTCCCTCCTTCTCCAGTCTCCTCTCCAGCTCCACCCTCCCTTGGGTGGGGCAGGGAAACTGGAACCTCAACCTCCCCTTTTCCTGGGGCCCATCCTGTGGCACTCCGACGCCTGAGCCAGGCCACCTCGTGTCATTTTGTCATCTGTGCTCCTGTTTCCTTTTGGAGCCTCTTTCCCATGTACCTCTCTGCCCTGTGAGTGACAGCTGACTTTGGACCTGAGTCTCAACTACCTTTTGTCCACCTTGTGCTCCCAGCCCTTGTGGGAATAAACCCTTCCCACGTGAGCACCTGCTGCTGAGCAGGAAGGGTTACTCCTGGTTCTGGTTCGTTTGTGGATGCAAGTCTTGGGGCTGGTACTTCCTCTAGTTACTCCCATTCATGCTCTGCCTTGGCTCTTCCTGGCCCCTGGCAGCCCTTTGGCCCCCCTGTCTGACTGTGTGGGGTGCTCTCTGGCTGGAGGAGACTCTCCTGGGCCCCCTGGGACTGTCCTAGTCACCAAGGAAAACACCTTTGTCTGGAAAAAGCCCAAGGCAGTCCTAGAAACATACAAATGTGGCACCTGCCCTTCTTCTACCCACCACCAACCTCACCCTCCCTTTGCCCTTCTGTTTTCTCTACAGAGTGATGTGGTCACCCCGGAGGGGTCTGCTATTACTAGACCAAGGCTTGCGCCTAAGCAAGGCAGGACAGAGCAGACTCTAAACTGAAGTTTCAGAAATCCTGGGCCCTGGGGGACTCCCGAAGTACACCCCTGTTTCCTCCCCAGGAAAGGACTGTGTTCTACCAGCCTGGGAGGAAATTCACTGCCTCTTCCTACCACCCTGGAGCTCGGCCAGGAAGACAGGCTAGTTGACTTAAAAATAGAACATTTGAGTTGGACTTTTATGGTCTTGGGAAGAACACTGTGCTCATGCCCACCCACACCTGGTCTCTGCCCTAGCCTGGCCCCATCCAGCTGCCCAGCAGAAATTCTGCACAGGCCCTCCAGGCCCCTCAGCAGAGACTTGGTAGATTTACGAGTACAGCCTTGGCCGAGGCCTTCTCCCCATGGCTTCCAGCCACAGCCCAGCTGCTCTCCCACATCCCATGCAGCTCGAGGCTGGGACGTTCTGTGTCTCCTTTTTTGCCTCCACCGCAGCTTGCTGAGTCACCCCTCAGCCCCTTTTCCTCTGCTGCCCTGGCCAGCCCGTGGAGGGACAGCCCTTCATCAGGCTAGAACCCAGACCCTGGGCACTCTGAGCTGCCCAGAACCCCCTTTATACTCATGGGGGCAGTGGGGCCCTGTCTAAGGGTACCCTGTGGGACTCCAGTTGGCCTGTCCATCCCTTCCCACTCCGAGACACTGAAATTTAACAATCGTGATTCCTTCTCTGTCTGGACCTCAGCTACACCTGATCTGGAAAGTTACTTTCAAAATGTATAGATGCCTGATAGTCCTTAGAGTATTTCTGGAGGGACAGAAAATAAAGCTACAGCTTTATCAGATTTCTGGCACCCCATGTGGGACATAGGGGGAGCCTGGAAGGGCAGTGCCTCTGGGGGGCAGAGGAGCTGTCCCTGGAGAGCTCATTTGTAGACATTGCAGAAATAACTCCAGGGCCCATCAAGTTTTTGACTAAAATCCTGCTGAAAACCCCACTGAACCCAGAACTATCTTGTTTGTTTTTCCTGGAGGTTAGGTTTTTAACATAATGGAAAGAGAAGACTGTAATTATCAACCTTTGGAAAAGAAACGTGTTCTCCTTTTAAGGTCCTTCAGGCCTGGGGGCCTGAAGAATGCAAAGCCCTGTGTTTGGGGAGCGGGGAGTTCAGGCAGAGCGGCTTGCAGGAAAGATCTTCAAACAAGGCAGCTGGGACGATCTAAAAGCTTCTCTAGAAACTGGAAGGCAAGCAATGTAGGCTTTATGGCTTAACCTGGAACTATAACTCATCAAGAAAGCGTGGAAGGGGACAGGGCCCAGAGAGGAAGAAGATGTGGTGACAAGGGGCAGCTGGAGAGACCACAATACAGGGACCAGACTCCTACGCCCCTCCCTGCCTCTTTGACTTTGGGTGAGGCAGCATCTCCTGGTCAATAACAAAGCTTGTTCCCTTCTTCAGTTTTCCCTCTGGCAATAGCTCTTGTCACATTCACGGCTGCCACAAGCCCAGCTCTGCCACAAGCCCAGCTCATCCCTGGGTTTCCCATCAGCCCCCGGGAGGCCATCATCCTCGGCCCCTGCCTTGGCATCTGAGCAGCAATGTCTGTCTTGTTATCTCCGGAGGGTTTGTGGGAACCTTAGGGGAGAAAAGCAAGGGGTGGAGCCTTAACTCAACTGCCAATCTATTCAGACCCCTTCTCCCTCACTTCCCTTGCAGCTGCCGCCAGGCAGTCACCCGCTGATGCCAAGATGAGGGTTGTACCCCGCAATACTCTCTACCACACACAGGCCCACTGCTTTGTCTGGTCTGCGCGCTGGAACCTGTTTGCTGAGCCTGACCGGGCGCGATGTTTGAGAGTCAGAGTGAAGACAGCTGAGGTCCGGCAGAGAATCCAGGTCCCTGAGCTGGAGACGCAGTCTGGGAGAAAGGGCGAGGGTGATGCTCATTTGTCACCAAGAGCTGGTGAGGGTGTCCAGGTGGGAAGGAGAGCGTCTGGAAGCCCGATCTCTGCCTCCTTGGCCCTCTGACCTGAGGTGGTGGCTGTGCTGGAGTCAAGGCCAGGGGACCCAAGGCCACCAGCGTAGAGGCGAGATCGCATCGGCCACTTCTGAAATAAAGATGGGAAGTGAGTAATGCTCCCTGCTGCTGCCTCTTGGAGCCCAGAACCTTGGTACCCCAAAACTTGGCCTTCTGTCACCTCCCTCCCTGACACCCTCTCCTGGGACAACTGCTCTGATGATGGCCCACCCATTGCATGACCACCTGAGCCTGGCTGAGAGCCACAAGAGGAACCATTTAAGGAGAGCAAGGGTCCCCAAAGGAGCCCCCGACAGAGGGAAGGGAGGTAGATGGCAGAGCTAAAGCAGCCAGGGACTGGCAGAGGTGGGGCAGCAGAGCTGGGGCACTGGCATGGAACCATCTTGACCCCTGTCTTGTGCAGCCCCCAGCCCAAATGCCCCGGATGCCAATGCTGCCCACTCCCTCCAACCTGGGGACCGCCAAGGATTATCCCTCCTTGTAGCAACAGCATGGACAGTCCTGAAAACGCCAGGGTGACTGCCCTGAGGTCTGCCCTCCTCTTGGCAGTCCTTCCACCTGGGGGCCAAGAGGGCCCCCCCACTAAGCTGCCAGATTTCTAGCCCTAACCTGGCTTTTGGGTCTTCACGCTTCAGCATATTTTTCCATACACCATAAACCTGCTACTTGCAAGGGTCTCACCCTGACAGCCATTTTCCACCTAAAGAAATGACCACGCCACCCAGAGCCCCGCGCCAGTTACCCCCGTCAGCATTTCATTCAGTCTCAAATGCTGGCTTTTTACTTATTTATGTGAAAGGGAAAGTCTCAAGTTTCAAGACATTTCAGAGCTGTGGTGTTGCGGGGAGAGAGTGAGAAGTATCCTTGATGGGAATGAGTCATGCTGTCCACGAGGGCAAAGACGGACCTGCTCTCCTAACACAGTTACACTCTGCAAACACCACATGGCTTTGAGATCGGGTCTAGCCAGACACCCTTGGGCACAAACTGCATTTACCTACTTCGTCTGCTCAGGGTTCAGTTTCCTCATCTGTCAAGTAACCCTCATTTTGTTCTTGTGCCGATTAAAAGATAAAAATGCACTAAAGTAGTTAGCCCAGCCGCTGGCATAACTTTAGCACCCAAACAGGTTAGCTGTTACTGTGATGATGATTATGTTCATTATACTTTCCCTTCTGGACTTCATTTCCTACCCCTGGAAGAGAAGCAAGGTTCATGTTATCTTCCCTTTCACATAAAATAAAGCTGAGGTTCCAGGAAGGTAGGTCGGGGCAGGTAAGTGGTGCATGCAGGAAACCCCTCCACCCCACTGCCACCCCACCTCCACCCCAGCCTGGTTGCTTCTAGATTGATGTTTTCTCAGTGGGTCTCTCTCCTGTGACAGAACCCCCGAGCACACGGAGGCCCTGTATGATGACGTGACGCCCCTAGAATCTAGGAATCTCCTAGACCTTGGCCCTGTCAGCTGCTCTTTTATCCCCTGCTACTAAACATGCCAGAGTCTTGGGGTCTCCAAGAATCTGCCTCCTCTTGGAGCAACTATATTCTCACGAAGCCATTCCCAATCCCATCTCCCACCCTACCACACGAAAAGAGCTGTGTCAGCCCAGCCCCAAGGGCCCATCTTATTTCCTCTCCTGCTGAGAAAGCAGGAAGCAGCCGGCCCCAGGTCAGCGCTGCCCAGGACAGGGGACGCACCTTCCTGAGTGCCCTTCCCCAAAGCCCTACCTTGAGAGGGTGCAAGTAGCAGAGTCCGCGCAGAAAGGGTGGCCAGGCAGGGCCAGGCAGCTCGTGGCCGAGCATGCGGGTGAGGTGGGCGATGTAGCTGGTGGCCAGCACCAACACGTCCAGCTTGGAGAGCTTGGTGTCAGGCGGCACAGCAGGCAGAGCGGCCTGCAGGGCCAGGAAGGCCTGGCGCAGCGTCCTCACCCGGCTCCGCTCCCGCGCAGCGTTCTCAGGACTGGCTTCACTCTGTAGAGGACCCCAGGAGAGTGGGTCTAAGTGGACCCCCATCTGCCCGTGGTCACTAAGAACATTCTAGTGCAAGGTCTCCTGCCTGAGTATCAGCTGAACAGTAGAGACCAAAGGAAATTGCCCCATCTATGTGGGTTCTCAGCCCTGCTGCTTTTTACCCCCAAAGGAAATGGGTGAAGGCCTTGCCTGGGGTCAGATGGCAGCAGGATGGAAAACCTGGCTCAGAACCTGAGTCCTATACTCTTCCTAATAAACCACTCTGCCTCCTCCTAGCCCTGGCTCCATCCACACCCAAGTCTGAATCCTGCTTATCAGAGTGCTGGGTGCCCAGGGCCAGCGGGAGCACAGAACCACACCCTGCTCTGTAGGACTGACCCTTGACCCAGTCAAATCCAGTGATGAAGAGCCAACTGCAATAAAGAGGAGGAGATACCAAACCAGGGGTCAAAACTGCTGTTCTGGGACCTTGGAAAATCCAGTCAACCCTCCTGGCCTGTTTCCTGTAAAGAAGTGATGTGGGCCAGCTATCAGGGCTGCCCTCTGGTGAAGACCAGCTCTGACTTATCCCAAGGGATAAGAGTCTTGGAGTCCAAGGAGCCAGTGTCCCCTCTCTAAGGCAGGAAGGGTTAATGCAGATGAGTGAGAGGTGACATCTCAGCCCCCACCCCCAGCAGCCCCTGCCTCTCAGCTCCCTCTGCAGGTCCAGTATGTCCTTACCCTGCCACGAGCCAGGCTCCTAGCCCTGGCGCCCCGTGGGCTAGGGGCAGCTCTGCTCCACCTTTGGGTGCTCCAGCTGGTCTCTTCCCACAGGTCCTGACTTGTCCTGCTCAGGCGGCCCCTCTTCCTGTCAGTGCCTGCTCGCAACTGCCACTTGGCCTGAGCTGGGCTATGCCCTACTCCTGGCATGGCTGGTGCCCCTCTGGCCTCCCTCTGTGACATGCCACACCCGGGCGGGAGCACAGTGCCCGACACAGCCCTTGGGCTCAAGCTGGCCGGGGCAGGCCGGTCAGGCAGCAATGTCTATATCTGAGGGAGCTGACGCCAACTCAGTACTGCTTCACTCTTTGCTCTGGGAAAACCGCCCACCAGGCACAGCCCCCGCGAAAAGCCTCCTGCCTGCCTCCCAAATGGCTGAGGGGTGGAGGTGCTGGACGCTGGGAGTGGCCAAGCCCTGGGAGGAGGCCCTGGCTGAAGAAGGCAGGAGGGTGAGTGGGAGAGGAGCTTCCTTCCCGGAGCCTGGCTGGTCCCTCACCGCGGTCCTGTGGTAGACCTGTGACCTCAGCTTTGGGGTTCAAGTGTGTGGATGGGCCCTGAACCTCCTTCTCTGTCCCACAAGCCTGGCTGCGTACATCCCTCTTGACAATGAGCACGACCTTCCAGCCGCAGGGTCCTACCCCTCCCCCCACCCCGTCGTGCCTCCTGCTTCCAGCCCAGGGTTTAAACTTTGACCTTTCCAACCCCCCCGGAATGCCTTTTTCCTACTCTACCAGGGCAAAGGCTGCCTATCTTTTGAGTTATGCCCTTCATTTGAGAGCATTTCCTCGACCCCACGGAGCCCAGTGCCCCTGTCGCCCCGCTGGAAGGTAACCCCGTTCATGTGCGACTGCACCCTGGCTAACCGCTCCATGCTCTTAAATCACTACGTGCTTGGCACGGTGCTCAGCACTTTACATGTGCATTATCTTATTTCTCGAAACAGTCTGCTAAGAAAAAAGACTCATATCCTCATTTTACAGATGGAAAAATGGGAGGTATTAGAAGGTGAAATAACTTGCCCAATGTCAAACGTCGTCCAAGTGAGGGAAGTAGGATGAAAACCAGGCGGTTGGCAACTTGGAAGGTTGCTCCTCCTCCAGTGCTGTTCTGCCTCGGGGGGGGCTACTCCTGGGTCTGTCCCCAGACTTGACATCCGGTCTCTGAAGGCAGCGGCCAGCTTTTTGCTGAGTTGCATGGAATGCTCCACACAGCAAGCTAAGAGAAGCTGCAGGAAGAGTGAATCTGCCACGGTGGACCCTGTCTGTCCTCAGTAGACTCCATCTTACATGTGCCTTACTCTGAAACCTCAAGCTCCATGGGGGACAAAATAAGTAAGGGGAAAGTGCAGAGAGGACAGAGAAACCAAGGTAGATGTAGCTCCAGTGAGAGAGACCCCAGCCAACCAGAGAGAAAGGAAAATAGACAAGTAAATTGACCTGAAAGTCCATCAAGAAAGAAGTGATTAAATACATTTTGGTATTTCACTACTTTGTTGTTTTGTTTTTTTTTAAGATTTATTTCTTATGCATACAAGAGCTGGGGTGTAGGCCAGAGGTGTGGGGTGGGGGCCCTGAGAGGATTCACCAGAGACAGAGTGGGGAACAGAACAGGCAGATTTACTGAAATACACTGCTAAGGGGAGCAGCGGGTGAGACAGGAGAGGTCTGCTGCGCCATCTTTGCCTAATAAGATGGTCTCAAAAGTAAATCAAGCAACAACTGACAGAAATGCAGGAAGAAATAAAAAAATATCAAAAACTATTGTTGATCTGAACAAACTCCTTTCAGAAACTGATAGAGGTATATAAGCAGATAAAATGAATTATAATTAATCAGCTCAAGATTTTAGCTATATCCAAAAATAGAATACAAATAGTGGGTATTCCTGGAAAGAGTGAAAATAGGAACAGTAACAAAGCTGACTTTTATACATTCCACTCTGTATACCTCTGTGTCGTTTGTATTTTATACAATGCAATTTGTGTATTATTTGTTGAACTTCAAAGAATAACAAGAAATAAAGGCAAAAAACCACAGTATTTCAAGCTGCTATTTCAACACATTTTTCCACTAAGAGCCTTCATAAAATCAGACTACATGGGCATCATTATAACCCCCAGTCTAGAAATTTCAATTACAAAGAAGGAAATACAAGCAATTTGGGAAAATCTATGTGGTGGGTACCTAAAGACTATATTCAGGTCCATATAGGTACTTGGGAATAAGGTAAATTGCATTCAAACACCTTTTTCTTCCTTTACCCCCCAACTCAGAGATTCTTCGACTTTCAGTCCTCTGTGTGTTGTTGCAAATTACAAAGCCACCAGCAAAAAGGCAAGCAAGAGAGCTGGAGCAGGTGACTTGGCTTCTCTATAACAACTGGCCACATTTTAAGATCTTCATCTGAAGCAAAGAATAAAGTCATCTCAAAATTGGGCCACAAGTCCCATCTGGCCTGGACTTTTTGGAGCATGTGTTTTTCCAAAAAACAACTCACATATGTGCAAATTTCAATTCCCACCTAGCAAGTCTCACAGTAGTTCGTTTGAGAGAATTTGTGAATCAACTCTGGAAGAGTAAGATGAGTCAAAGAGGCAAGTCTGGAACCGACTTTGAGTAATATTTCTATTAGAATGAATGAAGCTTGCTCTTTGCTCATTATTAGGTAATCAACTCATTTGCCCAAATTCCCTTGTTCTGAGGCCATGCATCAAGCATCTTTCTGACTTCCAAGCAGATCTCTCTACATGACTTCTCATGCAACATCAACAATGTGGATTCTGATTATATATTTTTTCTTTCTTTTTAAAAAAAGATTTATTTTTATTTGTTTATGCATACAAGAACTGGGGCGTAGGCCCCAGATGAACTCTTGCCTTTCTGTAGGTGCCTAACACCTTTCCTCAAATCATGATTCCCCCCAAACCAAAGTTAACTGTGCAAGCAGCCCCTTTCTCTCATATTATAATGTACAGCCCAAACAGCAAAGAAAATTAAAAGCCAAATCTTCCCAGATAACTATCAATGTACCCATTCATTCATCCTCTCAACAGACATTTGTAAATTACTGGGAAGAGTACATGATATACATTTGAAAGAAATAGAACAAACTATTCTTGTCCAGGGTTGGAGGTGTGAGGGGGAAGATGGTGTGGCAGATAACACCTGCAACAAAAACATTTAGCAAACTGAAACAACTGCGTTGCAGTATCATGTTCCCAACGCAGATGCCAAATACTTAGATGTCTAACTCACTTTCATTTGGTTGATAAAGTTTTACTAAGCATATACTAATGAAAACAATGTAAGGGAGAGAGTGGTTGGTATAAACTGAAGTAATTGTAATTGAAGAAAATTTTTGTTAGGACAGCAATCTTTAAATTGGGGTTCTCATAACCCTGAAGGATGTGATTATTTTCCAAAAGGACTTAAATTCTAGGGAGACCAATTGTCCCACTTTATCTGTCTTGATTTTAGCACTGAAAGTCCCATGTCCCAGGAAACCCCTCGGTTCCTATGGCTGGGTCTCAACTTTCATCTCTTTCCTAAAGCTGATATGACTGAGATTTTGCCTGATTCTCTTTTCCCACTGCGCACATTTTCTTAAGGGTCCTGCTCTCACTTTACACAAATACTTTTACTCATTCCTGATTTTTTTTAAAGATTTATTTATTTATGCATACAGGAACTGGGGTACAGGCCGGAGATGCGGTGGGTAAGAGGATTCACCAGAGACAGAGTGGGGAGCAGAATAGGCGGATTGACCAAAACACACTGCTGAGGGGAGCAGCAGGTGAGGCAGGAGAGGTCTGCTGTCCCATGTGGGTCACCTCCCTGCCAGAGGATCCAACTTATGCTGCAGTGGCTGCGGATAGCTTCATAGTGCTGCGTCTTAACCCCCCATGCCACCAGGGAGGCCCCTCATTCCTGATTTTATTAGATTAATTGTCTGGGGTGAAAAAAGCTTCAGGGTATTGAGAGAGAGAGAGAGAGAGAGAGAGAGAGAGAGAATATTAGAAATACTGATATGGGCAAAGCCTCCTCTAAACCAGACATCCTAGACCCTTGGATGGACATCTCATCTTTCATTTATATTTCATGGTGGTTAATTTTATGTGTCAACTTTACCAGGCCATGGGGTGGCCAGATATTTGGTTTAACATTCTTTTGGGAGTGTCTGTGAAGGTGTTTCTAGATGAGATGAATACCTTGCTCGTGGGACTGAAAAATGGCGCAGCCAATTTGGAAGACAGTTTGACAGTTTGTCAAAATGTAAAATAGTCATGCATTGCTTAACCACATTTTGGTCTAAGTCAGGTGTAAAATGGGGTGATTGTCCTAATAAGCTATCCCTTGTAGCCTAGGTGTGTAGTAGGCTATAGCATGTAGCTTCTGTAATTACTCTATGATATTCGAAAGACGAAATCACCCAATGAAGCATTTCTCAGACTATAACCCCATTATTACATATCAAGCAACTATATTCATTGTGACCCAGCAATTCTACTCCTAGGTATCTACTCAAGAAAATGAGGCATTTGTCCATACAAAACTTACACAAGAGTGTTCACAGACACATTGTTCATAATTGCTGAGAAAGTAGAGGCAACAGAATGCCTGTCAACTGATGAATGGGGAAATGAATCATGGTATATCCAGATACAGGAATATTATTTTGCAATAAAAAAGTAAGGATACATGCTACAACATAGATGAAACCTGAAAACACTTTGCTAAGTCAAAGTAAGATATAAAGGTTATATTGTCTATGTTCCACTTATATGAAATGTCTAGAATATGCAAATCCATAGAAAGAGAAAGTAGATTTATATTTTCCAAGGACAAAGGAAAAGAGGAATGGAGTAACTGTTAATGGGTAAGGAATTTCCTTTGGGAAGTACAAGAATATACTATAATTACAGTGTAGTGAGTTTTCACAACCCTGTCAGTACAGTTTATTTATTTTTTTAAATAGGTTCATTCAATGCATTAAAGGCTTGAGCTTTATTTTATTTTTATTTTTTTTAAACTTTTTTTTTAATAGAGGCATGTTTTTATTTATTTATTTATTCATTTGTTTGTTTTTGTTTATACATGCACTGGGTACAGTCAGAAGCGCGGGAGGGTGAGAGAATTCACCAGAGCCAGAGCGGGGAGCAGAGCAGGCAGAAGGACCGAAGTACACAGCTGAGGGGAGCAGCGGGCGGCAGGAGAGGTCTGCGCGCCATGTGGGACCCTCCTCCGGTGGCCGGGGAGCAGCCGGGGATCGAACCGGTGCCGCAGAGGCTGCTGGCAGCTTCGCAACCCAGCGCTCAACGGCTGCGCCACCGGGGAGGCCCTTTTTTTTTATTTTTTTAAGACTTATTTATTTTTATGCATACAAGAACTGGGGTACAGGCCAGAAGTGTGGGGGGTGAGAGGATTCAGCAAAGACAGAGTGGGGAACAGAACAGGCAGCTCGAGTGAAATACACTGCTGAGGGGAGCAGTGGGCGAGTCAGGAGAGGTCTGCTGTGCCATGTGGGAGCTCCCGTCTTAACCCCTTGCACTACCAGGGAGGTTCCCTGTCAGTACACTTTATTTTTTTTTTAATAGAGGTATGTTTTATTTATTTATTTGTTTGTTTGTTTATACAAGCACTGGGTACAGTCAGAAGCGCGGGAGGGTGAGAGAATTCACCGGAGCCAGACCAGGGAGCAGAGCAGGCAGAAGGACCGAAGTACACTGCTGAGGGGAGCAGCGGGCGGCAGGAGAGGTCTGCGCGCCATGTGGGACCCTCCTCCGGTGGCCGGGGAGCAGCAGGGGATTGAACCGGTGCCGCAGAGGCCGCGGGCAGCTTCGCAACCCAGTGCTCAACCGCTGCGCCACCGGGGAGGCCCTGTCAGTACACTTTAAATGGGTAGATTGTACTGTATGTGAATCATATATCAATAAAGCTGTTAAAAAAATAGTTATTGGGCCTCCCCGGTGGCGCAGTGGTTGAGCGCTGGGTTGCGAAGCTGCCCGCAGCTTCTGCAGTGCCTGTTCGATCCCTGGCCACCAGGTGAGGGTCCCGCATGGTGCGCAGACCTCTCCTGCCGCCCGCTGCTCCCCTCAGCAGTGTTCTTCGTCAGTCTGCCTGTTCTACTCTCTGCTCTGGCTCTGGTGAACTCTCTCACCCTCCCGCGCCTCTGATTGAACCCAGTGCTTGTATAAATAAATAAATAAAAAATCTTTAAAAAAAAAAAAAAGAAAATAGTTATTAAAACATAAATATATCCCAAAGGGGGGGCGGAGGATGTAGAGTATAAGCCACTGCTTAGAAAGCAAAGGAAAGCAGGAAGCAGAAGGGAAAGCTCAAATAAACTCTATAGTTGGGGAGAACCTTGGTTGGAGGAGGTGGGGGAGCAGAGAGCAAAGGCGGAGCTTGTGCACGAAAGGGCAGCTGAATCCCTAGGAGAGTTTTGCCTCCTTCAGTTTTGTCAAGGGTCAGCCAGACAGAAGTTCCCGGAACCTTGAGCAGGAGAGTCTATGAGGTAAGCAGTTGACCTTTGTGACATAGGCACTAGATGCCAGGGAGAACTGTCCCCAGGGAATGGGGTTACCAGCTCCCAAGGGGGGCGGCAACGCCGCCCCTTAGACAAAGTCCCTGTCTCCTGGAGGTTCTCATCAGCTGGCCCACATTACTGCTGCTGCTGGGGGTGATAAGCCATTTGGCTGTGGCCAGGCTGAGCCAAGGACACCAGCTTTAGGGGTGGCCAGGGGTCAGGAGAATCAGACGGGCAGGATACCGGGATGCTTGCCGAAAATCTGATTCGAGTTTAGGAGAACAAAAACCCGTTTCGGAAGACCTCGACTGGCAGGAGGAGGGCCGGGAAAGGTCCTGAAGCCTGAAGGTTCAGACAGAGATCTGGTCAGAGTTCAGGGTGACAAATATGTGGCAGAGGACAGCTGTACCCACTGGTACAGTGGTGACTCTGTTCCCCTCTTTCCCAGGTCCCCTCATCACTGCAGTGCCTGTGAAGCACATCTCAGAGCGGCAACCCTCATTGGTAAGAGCCCCCCACAGCAGAACACCCTCAATTCCTAGCCCCATCCCAGCCCTCAGCCCCCAGACCACCTCCTCCAACTCCATGCTATCCTCCTCCTCCCTCCTTCCCTATTTCTCCAGTTCTCACCTTCCCTGGACCATTCTGCAGCTGTTCTGAACCGAAAGGTGACATGGATTTAGGCTCTTGACAAATCGGCCTGGAAATGAGCGCGTGAAGCAAAGCCAGGAACGCACGATTCTCCCAATATCTTGGGCTCTTTTTCTTTCTCTCCAGGTCGGCAGCTGTGTCTTCCTCCCTGGCCCACCCACATCGTTGCTGCTGCCCCTCGGCTCCCGAGAGGCCGCTCGGATTCTGCGGCCCCACACATCCCTCATCAGTGGCTGATGGCAAATAAGTGAGAGGCCAAGTTCAGATCCCAGCTCCTGCCTGGACACTGGAGGTGGCTGCTGCTATACCTGCCACCCGCAGTTGTACCAACACCAGGCAGGAGCCACACTGTGCACAGAGGCCTCGATTTCTCAGCCACATCTGGCCTCAGAGATATTGGTCCTGACTCTGCAGGTCTCTAATCTCTGGTCCTAACACCCCAATCCCTCCTGGATTCAAGGCGATGTTGCCTCAAAACAAGGAGCAGGTGTTGCTACGGAACGCAGCATCCCCTGGGCACACCCTGCAGAGCCCCTCACAACCTGTGGACTCTCCTCCCACGAGCCTACGGCCTTTGTCTCCCCAGAAAGCACACCCCCTTTCCTGGCAACCTTGCACCCCGCCCCCAAGGACTCATGTGCCTGCCTCCCACTTCTGCTCTTCTGACTCGAACTCTGACTTTGTCCTAAATCCCTGCTCTTCCTTTCTCCCAAGTTCTCCCACTTTTTTCCATCAGAATTTCCCTTTCATCCCCTTTTCACGCTCCCCCTCTCCTTCCCATCTACTTTACTCCTCTCCTCCCCACTCCTCCTCCCCCTGCCAGCCAGAGAAATCCCTCCTGAACTCACGCTGCCAGTCTCCCTCCCACCAGGGAGACCCACGGAGGTCCACTCTCACGTCTCCGAGCCCCCACCCACGTTCTTGCGGGATCTACCCTAACAGCCAGACATGGCACTGGCATCAGTACAGGGACACCAGGTCCCCTGGAGTGGTGGGGGGATGCATGGCAAGCGAGAGGGACCCTGCAGAGTTCAGGGACCCAGGAGCCCTAGCCCAGGTCCTGGTGGCCCACCTGGGGCACCGACGCATTGCTCACGACCTGCGGTTGCTGCTTTTGCAACGCCTGTGGCTAGGCAAAAACGGCCAGGCCCCGGTCGTGGAGTATCCCGTGTGCCTGGTGTGCCTCCGGCCCCGCACTCCCTCTTGCCCCGCCCCCAAGTACAAAATTGGCCCCCGGCTGCTTGCCTTCCCCCAACTACTGCCCTGTGCGCAGGGCCTGGAATCTGGGCCACTCCGAATAGGCATCGGCTTTGGCCTTCGCCTGGCTCGGGGCCAGGCCAGGGCCTTGCATCTGTTGCCCGAAAGAAGGCGGAAGGAAGCAGAGCCTCAGGGAGAGGCCGCTCAGGCCCATGGGTATCGACCACCGGCATCTCAGTCTCCGGCAGCTCCAACCCCCGTGGCTCAGGGCCCGGCAGATTCAGCTTCAGGCGCACCCTCCCAGACCGGGAGCCTCAGATCTGCAAGCCCTCAATCACCAAACTCCACCCCACGTTCAGGGCTTCTACCTCAGGCACCAAAACAGGCCACTACCTCCATGAAGCCCAGGCCTTCCTCTGCCCCAAAGAGGCCTGCTTCTCCAGAACGCATTCTCCTAAATTCACCACCCTAACTCCAGAGGCACGAAGGCTCCCCGGAACACCACCTCCAAACACCACCATCCCCGCCAGGCCCCAGACATCAGGGACCCCCCGAGATACCCTGAAGGGCTGGTTGGCTGGAGGTCAGGTGTGTTCTCCAGCCCTGAATCCTGGGAGTCCCTTGTGGAGTTTGCTCTCTCCTGGCTGAAGAGGACCACGAGCACTCAAGGGCTCATTTAACCTTTAGCCAATAAAGCCTAACCCTGCAATACTTGTGTCCGTGTTATGCTGAGCAGAGTGAGTGGCTGTGCCCACAAGGGTGGGGGTTAGATGGGGAGCAGACCCCAACAACAGGTGGGGGTTAGGGAGAGTCAAAGAAAATTGAGTGGCCAAGGACAGTGGGTTCCATGTGTGGGGCGCTAGATGATGTGAAAATCCCCATGTTGGGCACCATATGTTATTTTTGGAGTCTGTAGATTTGGAGTGCAGGGATCCTGGGCTTCACTCTGGGAAAGGTTTCACCAGAGCTCCCGTTTCAGCAACATGTGAGTTTTCCAGGCAGGTTTCTCCATGGGACAGAGACATTAGTTATATTTAAAGGGCAGGTTTATTAGGGAAGGGATTCGACACTAGTATCCCCTAGTATCCTGAGGCACGTTAGATGCTAGTATCCTGAGGTTTGGTCTAAAGATATGGAGATTGAGCCCAACAGACCCCAAATGTAAAGATGGAGACTGAGCCCATTGTAAAATCTCTGGTCCCTTTCAAATTCTACATAGTTATTCAAAATTAGCAACCAACTGAAGCTCACAAGGAGTGACCCCTCCCAAACAGAGGAAAACCATATCAGTGCAGTCTCTGCACAGGCTTGGGGCAGCACCCCATCTGCCTACCTGTGACTATGCAGGTGCCTCTTTTCACCAAATCTCCCTCTGCAGGGCAGCAGTTTCCTGCCTGCTGGTGACCTATCAAGGTCGCCTGCCTGCAACCATGCAGGCCTCTCTTAGCAAACCTGTCCCTTCTGGGGCAGCTCTTCCTGCCCACTTGTGTCTATACCAGTGTCTTTAACTGTTTTATCCCTTCCCTAATAAACCTGCCCTTTATTTTTATTTATTTATTTTAAGATTTATTTATTTATTTATACAAGCACTGGGTACAGTCAGAAGCGCGGGAGGGTGAGAGAATTCACCAGAGCCAGAGCAGGGAGCAGAGCAGGCAGAAAGACCGAAGTACACTGCTGAGGGGAGCAGTGGGCGGAAGGAGAGGTCTTTGTGCCATGTGGGACCCTCCAAACCTGCCCTTTAAATATAACTGATGTTCTGTCTCGTGGAGAAACTCGCCTGGAAAACTCACCGTGTGTCACTGAAACCTGAGCTCTGGTGAAACCTTTCCCAGAGCGAACCCAAGGACCACCCCCACCCCCTCCACACACACACACACACACACACACACACACACACTCCAACAACAACAACAACAACAACAATGTATCTGGGGAAAGCAAGGCCTAGACACCTGAAACCTGCAGAGAGCTCCATTTGGCCGTTCACACATTTTTTTTTTTAATTTTGTTTGTTTGTTTGTTTTGTTTATACATGCACTGGGTACAGTCAGAAGCGCGGGAGGGTGAGAGAATTCACCAGAGCCAGAGCGGGGAGCAGAACAGGCAGAAGGACCGAAGTACACTGCTGAGGGGAGCAGCGGGCGGCAGGAGAGGTCTGCGCGCCATGTGGGATCCTCCTCCGGTGGCCGGGGAGCAGCCGGGGATTGAACCGGCCTAAGAGGCCGCGGGCAGCTTCGCAACCCAGCGCTCAACCGCTGCGCCACCGGGGAGGCCCCGTTCACACATTTAATAAAATTTGGAGGAGCAATATTGGCAGGCCCAAAGATGAAGTCATTCAGCACCCTAGGCATAACCCTACATTAACAATGTATGCTAACCTAGGAGAGCAGCAGTTAGTGTCTTCTATCAAGAAAGGGCATTCCTGCAGGGGTTCACTCACAGATAAAGCTGGGGGTACACACGTTGGTGATCAGAAATCCAGTGGCCCCCTCAAGAGGCTGTGTAACAGGGTCGTGCCCAGGATTGGAGTCTGGCAGAGACAAGAACTGTCCTGTTGGGGATTGAGTTGCCTCCCGCTGACACACACATACCACCCAACCCCACCCCACGCCCCCTTTTCAGGAGCAGAGAGAATAAAATAACCAACTCCCACCTCGGCCAACCATGGAGAAATATTTTGTTAAGATCGTGGTTTCTTCATACTAGGCAACCATGGATTCAAGATTTGCGGCTGGGTTTCTTTCTTTTTCTTTTTTTTTTTTTTTTTTTTTTTTTAATATTTGTTTATTTTATTTTTGTTGAATACTTGTTTATACAAGCACTGGGTACAGTCAGAAGAGAGGGAGGGTGAGAGAATTCACCAGAGTCAGAGTGGGAAGCAACAGGCAGACTGATGGATACACTGCTGAGGGGAGCAGTGGGCGGCAGGAGAGGTCTGTCGGGCCATGTGGGACCCTCACCGGTGGCCGGGGATCGAACCTGTGCTGCAGAGGCTGCGGGCAGCTTGGCAACCCAGTGCTCAACCGCTGCGCCACCGGGGAGGCCCACTTTCTTTCTTTTTCTTTTTAAAGATTTATTTATGCATACAAGAACTGGGGTACAGGCCAGAAGTGTGGGAGGGGGTGAGAGGATTCACCAGAAACAGAGTGGGGTACAGAACAGGCAGATTGACTGAAATACACTATTGAGGGGGGGAGCAGCAGGCCAGTCAGGAGAGGTCTGCTGCACCATGTGGGATTCTCGCCGGCGGGGATCAAACCCACTGCAGAGGCTGTGGACACCTTCACAGTGCGGAGCTCAACCGCCTGCACCACCAGGGAGGCCCCAGATCACATTTCGGGTGTGAGACCTTAGACAAATCATTTCCTCTCTGGGGTAAAAGGCAATGGTTGCGCTTGTATGCCTCCCAGGCCTAAAGGGTGGACAGCACTGAACCAAATATTTCTTTATTAAAGGTTATTATTCTTCCTTAATTTTTATTAGCTCGTCCTCCTCCCCCAGAACCGCCAAGCTTTGCGGTGCAGGCGACGCGCGCCTCCCTAGCCCCGCACAAAGATGGCGGGGTCTGTAGTCACAAAGGGGCGGAGGGCGTAACCCTGACGCCATTGTTACGTCACCCCGCGGCGGGCTAGTGCTGACGCGTATTGGCGGTTCTGCGCTTGCGCGAGGAGCGCCACCAGCTCAGTGCGCGTGCGCACTGCGAGTCGAAGTGCTTGGAATAAGCGGTCACAGCAGAGTTACTGCTCCCTGGGGTAGAGAAGTGACAACACCGGAGGTGCGAGAGGAGGCGGCAGTTTTCTCCGCAGCGACGAGACCGACTTCGACAGCGGCCGGGCAGTAGTCGAAGGCCGGGTCCGGCATGTCCCGAGTGTCGCGCTGCGGGCAGTGAGGTGCGCGGCGAGCGGGATGGGTCGGCGGCGGGTGCCGGAGCTGTACCGGGCCCCGTTCCCGTTGTACGCGCTTCAGGTCGACTCCAGCTCGGGACTGCTCATCGCTGCGGGCGGAGGAGGCGCCGCCAAGACCGGCATAAAGAATGGCGTGGTGAGCGCGCTGGGCCCCAGAGACCTGACCGCCCAGGGGCTGGTGGGCGATTCCGGAGGGTGGCGGGGACGAGCCGCATCCCAGGGTAGGGCCCTGCCCCTCCCTGGGTGGGAATCCCCGCCGTATCTGACGCCCTGGCACGAATTTCCCGCGATCGTTTACTTCCCCTGACGATTGAGAGACTTCTGAGGTGAAGTGAAAGCTGCACAGCGCTGCGTAGGCTGGAATGCGTCAATTCGAGCTCAAGAGCTGCTCCAGGGGTTGTATCCTGAGTCGCTTCTGGGGGTCCACATAGACTTGTCTCACTGTCCTCAACTACCGGGAATCTGCCTGTCAGGTTTCTTTGCTCTACCGAGCATCACTCTATTCTATAAACTCCAGGTAGTAACCCATTACTGCTTGCTGTACAGATTTATGAGACTCAGAGAGAGAAAGGGCTCGAAAAAGTTTTGTGAACTAGAAAGTGCTGTAAGCAAAGGGGGGCCTCTCGGTCTATGGAATATAAGTTCGTCCTTGTGGTACTCCCTAGGCACCCCTGAACCTTGCCCCATCCTGGTTCTTGTTCCCATAGCACTTTTTGCAGCTCGAGCGGATTAATGGGTGTCTGAGCGCCTCCTTGCTACACTCCCATGACACTGAGACACGGGCCACCATGAACTTGGCACTGGCGGGTAACATCCTTGCCGCAGGGCAGGATGCCCACTGTCAGCTCCTGCGTTTCCAGACCAATCAGCAGAAGGACAAAAACAAGGCAGAGAAGGCAGGTGAGAAGCCCCATCTCTAGCTTTGGGAAAAGAGTTAAATGAGTAAGACTACTCAAGTGACCAAATTAGTAGGACTGGAGTGGCGTTACTGGAAGTGGCAGGTGAGAAGCTGGATGTTGTCCAGCTGTGTGTACAGAGAACAGTACTACTTACTTTAGAAGCCTGGGACTTGGCAGGCTGTGTGTATTGCAGGTTCCAAGGATCAGGCGCCTCGACAGAGGAAGGGAGCAGCCCCAGCAGAGAAGAAACCTGGAGCTGAAACCCACCAGGAGGGGGTAGAACTCAGTGTCCAGAATTTGCAGGCAGTGCAGACAGACTTCAGCCCAGATCCTTTGCAGAAAGTGGTGTGCTTCAACCACGATAATACCCTGCTTGCCACTGGAGGGACAGATGGCTGCGTTCGTGTCTGGAAGGTGTGGCTTGGGGGGCTTTGGGGAGGATGACAGTCAGTAGCAACAGAACCAGTATTGTGAAAAACCCAACCTGGGTTCAGGGAAACTTGTGAGTGGAGCCTGCACTGAGTGACTGTTAGAAGAGATGAGGGGTGGGGAACATTTCACTCTTTTCGGGTGCCTGGTCTAACCACAGTGGTGATTTGACTACAGGTGCCCAGCCTGGAGAAAGTGCTGGAGTTCAAAGCGCACGAAGGGGAGATTGAGGACCTGGCTTTTGGGCCTGATGGCAAGGTGAGAAATTGAGAGGGTGGAGAAAGTAGGTGGTTATGTTGCTTGTCCAATGAGTGGATCCTCTAACTGTCCATCCTTGGAATTTGAATCCTGACCAGTTGGTAACTGTGGGCTGGGACCTTAAGGCCTCCGTGTGGCAGAAGGATCAGCTGGTGACACAGCTGCACTGGCAGGAGAACGGACCCACCTTCTCTAACACGCCTTACCGCTACCAGGCCTGCAGGTGTGACGACCCTAGAGGGGTGCTGAAAGAGGCACAGCCTAGATATAATAACAAAGTGGGAAAATACTGGGGGAAGGTGGGGAGGATTGTAGGTCTTGGTCGGTGTTACCTCAGGCCTGGCCAGGGTGCAAGGGTGCCCCCTGGGAAAGGAGGGTTGGGTAGGCCTGGGAGCTGAACGTCTCTCACCTGACCCCCCAGGTTTGGGCAGGTTCCAGATCAGCCTGCTGGGCTTCGACTCTTCACTGTGCAGATACCCCACAAGCGTCTGCGCCAACCCCCACCCTGCTACCTCACAGCCTGGGATGGCTCCACCTTCTTGCCCCTTCGGACCAAGCCCTGTGGCCAGGAAGTCGTCTCCTGCCTTAGTGTCAGGTGTGAGGCAATGCAAGTTTGGCTGGGTTTGTGGGTACCTGGGGGAGCTTCTAACACCTGAGAACCGTTGCTGGTGAATGACGGTTCCTGCATGGGCCTCCAAGACAATGAGCGCTTTATTGTTTGTTGCAGTGAATCGGGTACCTTCCTAGGCCTGGGCACGGTCACTGGCTCTGTTGCCATCTACATAGCTTTCTCTCTCCAGGTAATGGGTAGAGGTGATCACAGTCCTGAGGGCTGTTTGGGGTGGGAGCTCTAGCCCTGCCTCGGCCCGACTGTGCAAGAAGGCTGGCCCAGCCTGTAGAGGGTAGGCCAGGGGCAGGCGGCAGGGGTGTGTTTTCCGTAAGGAATATTCCCAACTGGAATGTTTTCCGTAAGGAATATTCCTCACTGTTCTATCCCCAGCGCCTCTACTACGTCAGGGAGGCCCATGGCATCGTGGTGACAGATGTGGCCTTTCTGCCTGAGAAAAAGGGTCGTGGTCCAGAGCTCCTGGGGTCCCATGAAACTGCCTTGTTTTCTGTGGCTGTGGATAGTCGTTGCCAACTGCACCTACTGCCCTCACGGCGTGAGTCACTAGGGTGGGACATGGCTGGGGCGGGGGGTGGGGAACACCCATCTTTTAGCTGTAGAAGAAACTTGCTCCCTGGAAAAGGGGCTTGCTTGTCTATAGCCCGTTGCCCCTCCTTGAGTAGGTTGAGGGCGCTGTTCTTGAGGCTGTGAAGGCCCTTTGCCCTCTGACTGCTTCTTGCCCGTCCTGCAGGGAGTGTTCCTGTGTGGCTGCTGCTGCTGCTCTGTGTCGGGCTTATTGTCATGACCATCCTGCTGCTCCAGAGTGCCTTGCCGGGTTTCCTTTAGCCTCCCAGTTCCAGGAGTCCTACACCAGAGTGGAGGCTGGACCCCATTACTCCACTTGGCTCCACAGTTGAAGTTGTCTCGGCTGAGGGTGGCAGGCACTGCCAGCCCTTTCCGGATAAAACTTGGTTGTGGCCCTGCGCAACTTTGACTTCTGGAACCAGGCATTCATCATCTGTGGATCCACCCAGGAATGGTGTCTAAAGCCTGGGCCACACCACCTGCCTCCTCCCTCTCCCTGCTAGAGACTCCAGACGTGAGATTATCCCTTGTCCAGAAATATGTGAAGATGTCCAGGAGTCCAGAGGCACTGCTGTCCTGCAGTTTCTAGAACTTCCCCCCCTTAAGCCGTGGCCAGTTGCCCTTCATGTGAGCCCTTGGCATTTGCTGGGGCATGTGCCGGGCAAAAGAAAGACCCAGGTAGTAGTCTGTGGATTCATCTGGGTGGCTCCAAACCAGCCGGGCTAAATATGTTGTTAGTTCCTGGATGGTCTACCCTGGCCTTGAGGAAAGGGAAAATGAACCCTCGGTCCTTTTGGCAGGAAATGTTGGTATTTAATAAACTGGGAAGACTGAACCAAGACCCCAAATGGTACTCTTGTCAGCACTTGCCTCCCTCGGCAGGGGAGGCGGCCCCAAGGTCGAGCAGCTCCACAGGGTGCTGGAAGATGGCTTTGGCAAACTGGTGGAAGAGGCGGTTCATGTAGCAGTGCTGCCAGGGGAGCAGCCCTTCCAGGAAGCCGATGTGGCCACCCTGGGCTGTGATGAGCAGCGCCACGTAGGGAGAGTTTCGGGCGGCCTGCAGAGGAAGAGCTTGGGGAGGGGTTGGAGAGGTCAGCCATTCTGCCTGGCCTCTGGTCTCCCAGGCACTCTCCGCCTACATTTCCTGGTCCATTTTCCCTGGGCGCTCAGACGTTCAGATTTCGGGCACTCACCATGCACTGGGGAAAAGGGGTCATCAGCTGCATTGAGGCAGAGCACAGGGATCTGGATGGCGTCTACTTTGGTTCTTGGGCTGGCTGCTTGGTAGTAGCTCGCACAGTCTTCGTACCCAAAGACCACAGCTGTGTAGCGCTCATCAAACTCGCGGATTGTGCGGGCCTGCGAGTGGTGGAGGGTGGGATGGGTTCGGATGGGTGTGGGGGTGGCGAGATGTTGGTGGAACAATTTTGGGTGGACGGCGGGGGGGTGGGGTGCGGGGAGATGGTTGAAAAGACCAACCTGAAGCACCGAGTCTACATTGACCACCTTTTCTATCACTTTTCTGTTTCTGCAAAAGATCACATGGAGGGCCAGCTCTACTCCTGGACCTGACTGAGCCCCAGCCTCTGTCTTACCTCATGAGTAAGGAAGCCCATCTTGCCCTGTCACCCCCTCCCACCTGCCCTGACCCTACCTGTCCACAACACGACAGAGTGCAGCAGTGAGGCGCTGATTAAAGAGTAATGAGTTGAGTGGGGTCTCCAGGGAGCGGGTGGTTTCAAAGGAATCCCAGCATGCAGATAGAGTCAGTGCTGCCACCAGCCCTGAGGCCTGTCCCTTTCGTGCCAGGTGGTTCAGCACTAGTATCCTGCAGGTTGGCCAGGGGCCGTGAGAGAAGGGTTTGCGTTAGTGATTTGGGACAGAGGAGAGGGGGAGCAAATGTGGAGGAGGAAAAAAAGACTGGGCGTTTGGGTTAAGCCCAGGCAGCCTTTACCCTCCCAAAGAGATGCCCACGGCCATCAGAGGAGCATGGGAGTAGCGGTGCTTTATGTGGCTCACAACTGTCTCCAGATCTTCAGTATTGCTGGCACAGAAAGTCCTGTGGGTCTGAGGCAAACCAGATCACAGGTAAGGAGGGAAGCCTTGGCCAGAAGGCAGAAAAGTAGACGGGCTCAAAGATGGGTAGGCAATGCCCAGGGCCCAGCATCTCTGAGGGAGTAGGGTAGAGGGCCTCTGCGAGAAAGGCGGGGACTCACCAACAGTTCTTCCCCACGGCAGCCTCGGTTATTAAATACAACAGCCCTGTGGCACACACAGTTCTTAGTTAGCCATGGCCTCTAGAAGCCCACCCCGTCTGGTAGCCTTCGGCTGGCCCTCCCTTCAGTCTCAGTCAGAAGGCGCCTTTCATATACTTCCCAGGTCTGACTTCACCTCCCAGTTAGAAATTACATCACCCGCTCCAGGGCTGTGCCCAGCCTTACCTGTAGCCATCCTTTACAGCTTGGTTAACTAGATGCAACATGTATTTTTCCTGGCTGCTGCCGGTGATGCCAGGCAGCAGTAATATAACGGGCCGGGTGGTTGGGTCAGGGAAGAGACAGCTGTCGGGTAGGCCAGCCCAGTCTAGCAGGAGCTGTCCTCCATCTGGGGTTTGGATGAATTCACTGCAGTTTTGTAGAAAAAGGCACACAAAGATACTATTAGGAACATCTTGCATTTCAAAAGGTTTATCGCCTGTATATCCTCAAACAACTAGCAACTTCCCATCAACAGCATTTGAGGGCGTGCTCTATACAAAACATTAAGATAAAACCAGGTTGCAGTAGGAGCATAAAAGGTTGAATATTACCTCAGGATTGTGCAATGAGAGAGCTTTCCACACAGCTACTCTTTACCTTCAATACTCTGAGGTAGATGGGGCAAAGAACCATTTTCTTTTTCTTTCTTTTTTTTTTTAAAGATTTATTTTTTATTTATTTATACAAGCACTGGGTACAGTCAGAAGCACGGGAGGGTGAGAGAATTCACCAGAGCCAGAGCGGGGAGCAGAGCAGGCAGAAGGACCGAAGTACACTGCTGAGGGGAGCAGCGGGTGGCAGGAGAGGTCTGCGCGCCATGTGGGACCCTCCTCCGGTGGCATGGGAGCAGCCGGGGATCGAACCGGCGCTGCAGAGGCTGCGGGCAGCTTCGCAACCCAGCGCTCAACTGCTGCACCACCGGGGAGGCCCCAAAGAACCATTTTCAAAGAGGTGGGCTGAACTCCCCAATACTTGCAGCTTCATGTTCACCCCCCTCTGCCCCTTCTTACCTCCAGTAAGAGACGAGAGGCTGAGATTGCAGTAAGACTCGAAATATGGTTTGTAGCCGCCCCTCAATACACCACAGCGTAGGGTAGAAAGTCTCAACAGTGACTGGACAGTGTTGCTCCAGGAAGGCCAGAAACTGGGACCCTGTTACCAGTTGAGGCCTCTGTAATCATATAACAATCTACTAGTGCCCTGGTTTGTGCATCAAGCCAGGGATGCCCCCGACAGGATCAGCCTGGAGAACTCTGCTTCATGTAGAGGTGAGAAATCCAGCTTCTCACAGTCTGGAATGGCCAGGTTACCTCTGTTGATGTAGTTCAGCTAGCGCCCCAAAGACCCCCCCAACTCCTGGAATGTGACCTCCACAATTGACCCTGAAGTGATTAAGAACCAGGGCTGGGAGGTGCTACCGCTTATCCATGCCCAAGTCCATTTTGGGAAAAATTGCCCATCTGCGGGAAGGTCTGGAGTTCTGGGCAAGGCTGAAGAAGTGCAGTACGTTCAGTATGTGACCTTTGCCTGGCAATTGAATTACCCATACTCATCTTCCCAAGCCTAGCTCTGCCTTCCTGACTCCTGATTGTAGCACCCCGTTGTTGCTTATTCCTATCCCTAGTGTGTGCTTTGCCGAGGAGCTGTTTTTTAACTGCAGCACTTGTTTGCTCTTGCTCATGGGGTCCCTGTTGTTAGACTGTACTCTAAAGGAGGAATATTCCCAGTGTGCACAATTTTTCTCTTCAGGCTGATCAGGGGCAGGTAACAGGGATGGGATGATGGACAGATGAGGTCTGGGGACACTCAGCCCTTTCAACTCCTCCATGTGGTTCTAGACAGGGAATGAAGAGGGTCTGGCCTCATGAAGGCTTGTGAAGGAAGAGTGCTATACAAAGCAAAAAGCCCTCACGCTCAGGAAATAAGAGCTGTACTTCTTTTGCAGACCCTAAGGAAGCTGAAGGCCAGATTCCTCTTATCTCCTGCAATCCTGGTACTCAGCAAGGCTGGGCAGATTATGAACTAGAGAGGCCAAGTTAGTAGCGTGACTGCTGTGAGATTGACTCATACACACACCTGGTCCTTAAGGCCTGGATTAGTAACACCTATGATTCACTATGTGCTCTGTACAGACACTAGGCTAAGCCCAGCTGTGCGAACTAGGGTTTATATGTGAAGAAACATAACACAGTTTCTATTGTTTGCCTAAAGTCACAGCAAGCAAGAAGCAAAGTGGAATTAATAATTCTATTACCCACTAATATTAATAGGTAAAATGTGTTCAGCACTCATTATGTCCTAAGCATTGTGTTAAGCACTTTACACAATCACAGCCTGTGATCATCATAGCTCTTTTGAGATAGGCCCTGTGATGCCCTTGTGGGATCAGGTTTGAAGGTTAAATAACTTGTCAAAGGTCATGAAACTTGCTAGTTAGTGGAACCGGTATTCTCAAACATAGGTCTACCTGACCTAGAAGTCCTGATCCTAGTCATTGTGCTATATTACCTTTTAATTGCCAAGATTTTGAGCTGTTGCCTTAATAAACCCTTGTTTGACAGCTCAGTGGTGTAGAACAAGATGCTAATAAATTAGATCACAGGTTTGATTTATGCAGGTTAGTTTCTGATGCTAGCAAATTGTTTTTTGACATGTTCCTTAGAATTAGTAGCATGCCATTCATTGGTTGCTGTGGATGAATCAGTATCAGCCCATTACCATGCTGGACAATCCAAATTCCATGCCCTTAGGGCCCTCAGAATGGCATTTTTTCCTGCATTTTAATAGCTGTGGAAGTCAAGGAAAGTTTCGGAGTATAAAGTGGCAGCTCTCTGTCACTTCTGTGTGGTTGGCTCAATAAAAGAAAATGTTTAGCTTTTTTCTGAAATGGCTGACTTCTCATCTAGGTAAGATTTATAGGATATGTGAAGTTTGCATTTTTATACTTTTATTAAGGCAGGCATTTTATAAGCAATGCATGCTAATGGTCAAAGGTTCTGACATTACAGAAAAGTCCAGGTAACATTAAAATTCCCTATAGATCTTTTTAAAGGGCTTGAATCAATTGGTTTCTTCTTAGCTACCTTGAATCTTAATAATGAAAAGATTTAGATTTCAGGGAGAACCTCCAAGTTCATAAAAATCTGCTTCTTTCAATACTTTAACACTGCGCTGTTCACGAAGGGATAGAGGTCAGAACTTAAAACATGAATGCGTGAGGTAGGACTGTCCGTTAGACTTGAGCAATGTCAGGAAATACCCCCCCACCCCCCCACCACCACCCCCAACCCCGTGGGAGAAGCACGGCCCTACTGAGCTGCTGTTGGGCGTTAGCCACAGGCCCCATGGGCCTTCATTCAGTGCTGCTAAGGAGAAACAGCTAAAAAGAACGGGAAAGCGGGCTGCACATGTCCCTGCCTTCCCGGGATGCCTCCCTCTCGCCTTTCCCCAGGGCTGGTCCACCTCCTAGGCAGAGGCACCGCTGTGATGCCCAAAGGCACAGCTGGCGAGGGAAGTGCAAGGGATGCAGACAATCTAGGTGAGCAACGACCAGGCTCGCCACTAGCTGATAGCAGCGAAGTGGAGAGAGGCCGAAGCGCGGGGCAGGGGTGGTGGTGGGGTGGGGACGTCAAACTTCACCGGTGGCGGGAGGCCCAACCTTGCCGGCCCCCGCCAGTGGGCTGGAGCCCGAGGCTGCAAGCTGCCCCCTGAACCGAGTATCCCCAACCCACCAGCCAGCGCTGTGGCTCCGCACCCACCTGGGGCACACAGGCCCAGTAGTAACCCAAGTAGAAGACAACGCCAAGAGCCAAGAGCAGAAAGAAGGACTCTGGTGCCATTCTGGAGGCTCGGGGAGGCGCTCAGCATTTTAGGCAGCTGGGCTCCGGCTCCCAAGTTCTCGGCTGGCCCTGGCCCTGGACTCTTGACTAGTGACCCTGCAGGTGCGCGCCCCGCCCCGCCCGTTACGCGCCATTGGACGCCGGGGCAGGTCCCACCTCCCCTGCCGAGCGGTTCGGGGGCGCCCGACCCCGCCCGCCGCCCGCCGCCGGTGCGCCCGCGGCGGGCTAGGGGCGGTGCCAGGACGTCGCTGGGGTGAGAGGCTGCACCCGCCGCCCGGCGCTCAGCCGGCTCGCGTGACCCGCGCGGCCTCCCTCCCGCCGGCCGGATCTCGCGCCTTCGCTTCTCCTGCTTCCGCCTCGCCGTCACCCGGAGCGCAGCCCCTCGAGCGCGCGGGCGGCCTCCCCGCAGCCGCCATGTTGGCCAGGGGCACCCCGGGGCCCTTTCGTAAGCTCTGCCCCGGCCGCTCGGCCCGGCACACAGAGGGCACAGCCGGTCGTAGGCTCACACTCCGCCCTGCCACACAGAACACGGTGACACTCGGCGCCCCCTCGCGTGGTGACACTGCAGCCCCCCAGTTCTCCGCCACTCCTCACACTGCACACCCTCCACACGGTGACGCCCGCACGGTCACTCGGGTTTCAGCTTCCCGTCGGTGGCATCCCCCTCGGTCACACACGCGTGAAAGCCACTTCTAGAGTGTCACTCCCGTTTCATGCAGTTCCTGCCGGCGCCACGTGTACTCACCGCCCAGTCTATGCCAGGCCCTCGGAGACCCCGGGGGTGCTGTTCCTGCCTTAGCTGGCATCAGGACCTCAGCCTTGACTGAAGATTTGAATTACTAGGAGTTTAAAAGCTGTGCCCAGGCCCCATTCCCTGGCAGAGCTGCTCCAGAAAGGAGTCTGGGCATCAGTATGACTTAACTCTCTAGCAGGTTCCGATGTGTGGATAGGGTGAAGCCCTGCAGTGAGAGTGGGGGACACACTAGCTGCTGTGGGCACTGAAGAGGGTGCAGGAAAGCACGACCCAGACACTTTTAAGTGACAGAACATTTAAGGTGACACCAAAAAGTGGGTAGGGCTTTCCCAGGAGAGGGTGTAACAGGTGGTCCCCAGGAAAGGGGGAGGCTCCAGGTTCTCTGCCCCACCCAAATGGAGGGTGGAGCTGAGCAGGGAGAGAAGAAGCTGCAGAGGAGACTGAGGGAGGGAGGAAGCAGGATGGAGCCAGAAGGAGTCCTGGAGGAGGCACATGGAGCCTAGAGATATGTGAAGAAACTGCACTTGCCTTTTGGTCGTGGACTGGTTGAAATAGATGTGGGTGAAACTTGTGGGGAGGATAACAATGGCAGGTTTTGTCTTGATTTCAATTTTGCTCTTTTCCTCCCAGACTTGTCTGGTTGTTTCTGATCCTTTTATGTGGGTCCCCACTGGAAGATGCTTTAGACTTGTGGCAGGCTTTAGGGCCTTGTTCTGGGCCAATCCTGCTTGGGAGGACTTTTACCCACTAGGGGACAGGTAACTTTGGGTGCTTGATTTAGAAACTTTATTCTTTGGGCCTCCCCAGCAGTGCAGCGGGTTGAGCGCAGCGCTGTGAAGCTGTCCGCAGCCTCTGAGGCGAGGGTTCGATTCCTGTCCAGCCAGGGAGAAACCCACATGGCGGGATAGACCTCTCCTGCCTCACACACAGCTCCCCTCAGCAGTGTCTTCAGTCCGTCTGCCTGTTCTGCTCCCTGCTCTGTCCGGTGAACTCTTTCACCCTCCTGCACTTCTGGTCTGTACCCCAGTTCTTGTATAAATAAATCTTTAAAAAAAGAAAAAGAAAAAAAAAAAGGAAAAACTTTAGAGAAAACTATATTCTTTGCCTTTCCTGTATTGTTTCCTAATTGTATTAAAGTTCCTTTTCATTAAAGTCTCATATGTTTTGTGTTGATGCGGCAGATGGCAGAACCTATTTAGAGCAGGCAGGCTTGTGGAGTCTGGGGTGCCCCTCTCCCTGCCCTGTAACAAGGGGAGGGGGAAGAGAGTAGTGATTCCAGGAGCAGGAACTGTAGAAGCAGAAGCCTGCTGTGAGGGACTTCCTAGAGGAACCTAGAGGGACTTCCTAGAGGAAGCCGTTGGACTGGAGCATAGGGGATGGTCAAGAAGCAGGCTGTGAACACCGCATGAAGGGTGTTAGAGTCACCCTAGGGGCGAAGGAGAGTCATCAGTTTTAAGAAGGGCTCTGCAAGGTGACTTAGAGGAATAAGTTACTGGAGAGTGAATTGGGGGAGGATGAGAGTGAAAGTAAAGAGGACACTCAGAGGCAGTCACAGAACCTGGGCCTTTAACCACCGAGGCTGCCTGAACGAGGGGGGGGGTGGGGGGGGTGGGGGGGGGTGGGGGGGTGGGGGGGGTGGGGGGGGGGGGGGGGAGCGAAATTTCAAGGTAGGAGGCAGAATTGACAAGGACTGGCTAGTAAGTTGGAGGTGGGGAGAGCAGGAAGAAGCATGAATGGTCCCCATTTTTTCTAACTGCATAGGTTCAGGGATTCATGGTAGTAACCCCCAAAATATGGAAACTGGGGAAGGGGGAGACTTGAGGTGGAAGGTGACACACTCAGACCCGGACACAGAGGTTGGGTAGATGTTCTAATTGTGTTTTTTACATTTTGTGTTTGTCTCTTTGGCTTCTATTAATCACAAGGCCAAACTAATGACCAAAATTGTTTACCTGTCCCCTGTGATCTGGAGCCCACACTCCAAGCCGCTTCCTTTATCTAACTCTCACACCAACCAGCATTTCCTGTCTCCTAAGTCAAGGCAGGGTCAGGTACCAATTAGGGACAGCCCCTGTTCCCCAAAGCCCACCAGGATTATTCAAATTAACCATTGTGAACTGAACCCCCCCACCCCACCCCCTTCCTTTGCTCCCCTTCTCTGCTTCTGACCTAACTGGTGTGTGGGACTGTGTGGCAAGCTGTGCCTCTCATTTCTAGGAGGAACTGTCACCATCAACTTCTCTTTCAATGGCACTGACCTCTTGTGTGGTCACTTAGTCACCTTTATAAATTAAGATCTGGGTAAAATCAGTAGGACATTCAATTCCTGTGTAGTCTGGGGCTTAGAGATTGGAATTCAAGATTTGAATTCATCAGCATTTAGAGGATATATTAATTCTCAGGGTTGCAGCAACACAGTACCACACACAAACTGGGTATCTTACGTGACAGAAATTTATTGTCTCCCAATTCTGGAGGCTGGAAGCTCAGGATCAAGGTGTCAGCAGGACTGCTTCCTTTGGAGAACTGTGAGGAAGCTCTGTTGCGTATCGCTCTAGCTTCTTTCTGGTGGTTTGCTGGCAGTCTTTGGTGTTCCTTGCTATGAAGAAGCTTCACTTCAACCTCTGCCTTCATCTTTATGTGCTCTTCTCCATGTGTGTGCGTGTGTGTGTGTGCATGCACACAATATTCCCCCTTTTGTATGGACGCCCATCATATTGGATTTGGGGTCCTCCGTACTCCAGCCTGATCTCATCTGTTTCTGCACTACTCTATTTCCAAACAAGGTCACATCCTGAGATACTGGGGGTTAAGACTGCAACGTGTGAATGGGGAGGGGGTGTGTAGCACAATTCAACCAATAACAGGTGACGATGGGGGCTTCCTGAACAGAGCAGGTGGGACATGAGGAGAGAACACAAAAGGAACTCTGAGGCATGAAGAAGACTGACCAGGAGGAAGGGTTTTGCTGTATCCATTGGGGGTCTAGAGGCAGTGTCCACCTCAGGAACAGGAAGGACCACAGGGTGACCTTGATGATTATTGTGATGGGTGCGGATGGAAAGGAGCTAATGGGGAGGGAGACAGGGCAGATTCCGGAGAGGCAAGAAGTCATTCATTCAAAGAACTAAGTTGCCGCGGACCAGCACAGCAGTAGATGAAGAGGCCGTCTCAGCGTTGAGAGAAACGTGCAGGGTGGTCAGGGCGTCGGCGAAAGAAATGACAGACACACTTCAAGAGAGTGTAAATCTGAGTGTAATTTTCTTTGAGTTTGTGACTAGTATATATGTTTCTAAAAGCATAGGAACAGTGAATATCAATGAAATCAGCTTGCTCATGGATTTAGCTTATCACTGATAGGGCTAGCCTCATTCTTAAGTAGATAGACCATTAGTTTTGTTTTTAAACTATATAATCGCATTTTGTTTTACTAACTACTTTTTTCACCTAAACTATATTTCAATTATTACAGGGTTTAGTAACGTTTCATTTGAGTCAGCCTTGTGTTAAGGATTTCATATGATTTTTTAATTAACAACCAATGACCTTTATAGAAGAAAAAGGAAGTTTAGAAAGACAATAAGGGAGTAAAGTTTGTAGTTCTAGAAAGACAAGATAAGGTTTTTTGTAGTAGCATTCTTGTAGTGGTTCCTGGTGGTCGTTATCTTTTGATAAGCATCTGTCTTATCTATGTCTTCAGGGAACTTTGCTGTACTTCCCTGCGTGCTGGTTCCTTGCCCAGCCGGACTTAGGGACCGTGGCGAAAGCCATTAGCCCTAAAGGTCACTGCAGGGGGAGGTGCAGCACTAAGTCCTTGGGTCGCTGGGTGAGACGTAGCCCCAAGCCTAGGTGGAGGGACTGGCCACTGGGACAGAAAGAGGCCATACTCCACTGTGACCACAAACCAGGGCCACTCTGCAACACTCCCTGCTGACCACCCCGAAGATGATGCTTTTTCCAGACCCTCACCCCACCTCACCCCTGCAACTCACAAGGAGCCCCTCCAGTGAGGCGACCATCGGCCACACAGCGACAATTTGCTGGGCACCAGCAGTCAGAGCTGCCACTGAAGTGACCAGAACAGCTAGGAAGCGTTCGCGCGGCTACGGACACGCAGCGGCAACACCTGGGCCGCCGCGCGCCCACCTCGCGCTGGCCACGCCCCCGCCGCTGCCGCCCGAGACGGCCCCGCTGAGCCTCGGGCTCCCGCCGCGCGCGCACGCCAGCCGCCGCGCCCCGCGGGAAGCTGCGCTGCACGCCGCCGCACATCTGGTCCCGCAGGCGGTGCAGGCGCAGCCTCGCGGGTCAGCCGGCGCCCCGCCCCCCCGCCTCCCGCCCCCCCCGCCTCCCGCCCCCCCCCGCCTCCCGCCCCCTCCCCTGCCCTGCGCGGCGCTCTCCTCCCGCGGGGCCCAGGGCGGGGGCCCGGCCGGGGTCGGAGGGCCGGGGCGGGGCGGGACGCGCCGGGCTCCGGACTCTGCCCGGCCCGGGCGGCGGCCGCGGCGGGAGGCGACGTGGGCGGCCACGTGGAGGGGCCGGCGGGCGGGCGGGCGGGGCGCGGGGAGCAGCCCCGGCGCGGAGCCGCGAGGACGCCGCGGGACCCAGGCACGCCCGCAGGTGAGGTCGAGCCCCGCCCGCGCGCCGAGGCCGCGGGACCCCGCCACGCCGCGGGGACCCCCCGGCCGCGGGGACCCCCTGGCCGCGGCGCGGGCCCGCGGGCGGCGGCGGCCCCCGAGTCCGGATGCTGAAGGCGCCGCCGCGCTGCCTCCCGCGGCCCGGACGCGCGGGCGCGGGGCCTCGCCGGGGAGCGCGCGGGAGGGAGAGGCTCGCTCGGCCCGGCGCGGTGCGGGGCGCGTCCCCGGCGCGTTCCCCTCCCGCGCCTCTGGTCGCTGCGGGAGGGCGGGGGCCGCGGGCCGGACCTTCATCCTCGCCGGACTGATGAAGCGCGCGAGGCTCGGGGCGCGCCGGCCCATCACCCGCGGGGGGCGGCAGGCCTCTCCCGGGAGGGGGAAGGCCTGGGGGGCCAGGGGCGCGGAGGAGAGCACCAGGGCGAGGACTCAGTTATAAGTAACTTCCCGACAATTCCCTCCAATTCCCCCCCCCCCCCCCCCCCCCCCCCCCCCCCCCCGGGCTGGAAACGGACCAGATGCCCAGGGAGGAACTGGGTTCCTGTTCTGGAAAGCCAAGTGGAAGCTGAATGGGTATCGACAGGGATGCTGTGGAAGACATTTCAGCACTGGATGGAAAATTACACAAGACAAGCTGTTTGGTTTTCTCTTAAACTTTTTTTCCCCAATGCATTTTCTCTTTTAATTGAAGTAATATCACGTTATGACATAAATTTCAAGTGTGCACTGTTGAAGACCAGCGTCTGTATATACTACATTAAGTTCACCGCTGAAAATCCAATTTTGTCTTTCACCTACAACTATCCCCTTTGTCGGATTTCCCACCCCACCCTAAGATAACCTTCTAAGGCCCTGCCACCTCCTAGAATCAGAAACACTCAAAGAGTGTCTGTCTGGCCAACCACCAAACTATCTTATCCTGAGCCCCTATGAGGTAGGTATCCTCATTTTTAAAATAAACACCTTGCCTAGGTGACACTGTTATCGTGAGAGGCAGCAGTTGAGCAGAGGTTTAATCCCAAGGCCAACTCCTCCCGCACGCTGGTGCAAAGGCCCAAAGAAATCCCAGGTCATGGAGAATGGGGTGTGTATTTGTATGTGTAGGATGTGGATAACTTCATTGCAGTGCACGCCGTTAACTGCTAACTAACAGCTATGGTGGCTTTCATGTGGTCATTAGGGAGAATTAGGATCCTGCACATTACAGTTATAGGAAATGATTAGGAACATTTTTATTTGACAGGCAGTGGTTCAATAACTGTTGTAGTGCTGTTGCTTGCCAAAGTTTTTAAGTGCTTAGCAATTGTGTAAGTGTGAACAAATCACATTTCACCTAAGTTCTTTCTAATAATGGAGGTGGGTTACCTGTACCAGAGAAGTCACAGTTGGAAGCATTACTTAAGAAATTATAACTTGGGCCTCCCTGGTGGCGCAGCGGTTGAGCGCTGGGTTGCGAAGCTGCCCGCAGCCTCTGCTGCGCCGGTTCGATCCCCGGCTGCTCCCCGGCCACCGGAGGAGGGTCCCACATGGCGCGCAGACCTCTCCTGCCGCCCGCTGCTCCCCTCAGCAGTGTCCTTCGGTCCTTCTGCCTGCTCTGCTCCCTGCTCTGGCTCTGGTGAATTCTCTCACCCTCCCACGCTTCTGACTGTACCCAGTGCTTGTATAAATAAATAATAAAAAAAAATTTAAAAAAAAATCTTAAAAAAAAAAAAAAAAGAAATTATAATTTAGGGCATCCCTGGTGGCCTAGGAGTCAAGTCTTAGCGCTGTTACTGCTAGGGCCTGAGTTTGATCCCTGCCCAGGTTGCTGACCCACATATGGCGCAGCAGGCCTCTCCTGTCTCGCCCACTGCCCCCTCTCAGCAATGTATTTCAGTAGATCTGTCTGTTTTGCTCCCCAGTCTGTCTCTGGAGAATCCTCTCATCCCCCCAACCTACACCCCCATTCTTCAAATAAATAAACCAACAAATCTTTAAAATAAAAAAGAAAGAAAATAGGGCCTCCCCAGTGGCGCAGCGGTTGAGCGCTGGGTTGCGAAGCTGCCCGCAGCCTCTGCAGCGACGGTTTGATCCCCGGCTGCTCCCCGGCCACCAGAGGAGGGTCCCACATGGCGCGCAGACCTCTCCTGCCGCCCGCTGCTCCCCTCAGCAGTGTACTTCGGTCCTTCTGCCTGCTCTGCTCCCCGCTCTAGCTCTGGTGAATTCTCTCACCCTCCCGCGCTTCTGACTGTACCCAGTGCTTGTATAAATAAATAAATAAATCTTTAAAAAAAAAAAAAAGAAAGAAAGAAAATATGACATAGATGGCACTAAAAGTCGATGTGCAATTATGTTTGTGGACTGCACCAGAACGCTGAGGTTGTCAGGGAGGCTCAGGATATTCCACGTAGAGGGTGGAGTAGCTTGGGCAAAAGCTCTGAAAAGTGAAAGTGAAAAGTATTTCAGGAGACTCCCTCTGTTGGAAGCAGGGAGTGTGATGGAGCACTGGAAGATGAGTCTAAAATGGTAACTTGATATCTGATATTGGGCCTTGAAGCCCAGTGAGGACTCCGGACTGTAGTGGAAACAGGCAGCCATGGAAGGTTTAGGAGCAGGAGCAGTGTAGTTGTAGCAAAGGAAAATTAATCTGATGTAGATATGGAGGATTCTTTAAAAGAAGATACAATAGCAGAGACAAGAATAAGAGGCTACTGCATTAGTTTGTACAAGAAGTAATGTTATCCGCTTGGTATTTGCTGTAACTCGAAGGTAAGCACTGTCATCTTCGTGACGCAGATTAGATACTGAAGTTTAGCGAGGATTAATGACTGACCCGACGTCACGGACAGTCGCTGGTGGTGCTGGGACTTGAAGTTAGATTTGGCTGGTTCCTAACCTCTGTTCTCTGTCCACTGCACATACTGACCAGATACACACATGTGCTGGCTACGCAGGACCTACAATGAAAAGAGTGAGAGTAATTCATGTGGGCAGGGCTCAGGACAGACACATACTTCGTAGGACCCCGTGCAAAAATGCCTAAGAATTTTAAGATGGTGAGAGCACATTAATCTAAGCCCTTCCGAGGGAAGGGCTATATGTGACTGTACAGGTCGCACACCCATGAAGCCAGTTCTGAGTACTATGACAACTTAACAAATCACCCCAAAGCTTAGTGGCTGAAAACAATAGCACTGATTGCCACGAGTGTGTGGTCTGGGAGGGTTATGGAGACAAGTTTGTTTCTGCTTTGTTCAATATTGGCCAGGGCGGTTAGGAGACTGGGTTGGAAGCGTCTGAAGGTTGCTCTCTCACCCGACTGGCCACTGGACTGGAAAGCTGTGAGCAGCTGGAGGCTAGAACAGCGGGGCGCCCCTGCCATCACGGTGTCTGTGCGTTTTCTCCACGTGCTCTGTTCTTGTTCAGCCTGGTAGCTTAAATCATGGATTCAACACTGTCTCTCTTATTACATGTGTGCAAGCTTCAGGAGGGAAAGAATTAATAATTCTACCTTATATTATCACCTAACTCATAATAGAGTGCCTCCCTCTAGTACGTGAGCGATACATATTAATAAAATGAATAACTCTTATCCTTATTCTGCAATCTTATATTTGCCTTCCCTCGGCTGCCAGACTCCTTCCAGGTGACTCAAGGCTCCGGGGTGCATATTTCCATGTCAAGCGAGGGAGAGTGAGAACAGGAACCAGCCAGAAACTGGTCATAAACATCATCTTTTGTGAACCAGACTTGGAAGGCACAAAGCACCATTTCACCTGCAGTGAAATAACATCACAAAGATGTCCTCCAGCCGCGAGTCACTCGAGTCCAGGTCACGTTCAAAGAAAGGGGACTTAGAATCGAGTTTTTATGGGGAGTAGTGTCCAAGAATTTGTAGGCATGTTTCTCAAACCAGCACAGTTTGCCTAATGAGTGAGTAGATTGGCGGGGTCTGAGGGGTGCTTCCCCATTATGCCTGAATTGCCACCACCAGAGTGTCTTTGGAGTTGACAAAAATCCTGTGTAAAAGGCAATCGTTCGTGGATGACGGCGCATTAAGACTGAGTAATAGGTTTTGACAGCCACGAGGGATTTAAATTACTCAAGTGCCTCCTTTTGGCCTAGGTCCTGGTGGTAAACAGATGGGGAGGAGAAAGTAATTTGGGGTATCCAGGTGGGAAGACTAGGACAGGACAGTGGGGATGTGTGAAGCCACCACAGAGCAGTCCAGGCAAACGTCTAGAAGGAAAGGGGCTTTCTTGTATAACCGGGCAGTACATGCCACAGGTCTTGCCTCTTTTAACCCTTCCATAACCCACGAGGAGTTTTCTTATCAGCATCACCTTCCAGATGGGGAGCCTGGGACACGCGGGTCACATGGCCAGCCATCTGGGAATGCACTTGCACTGGGCAGCCTGAGATGAGCACCCACACCCTCACACTGGGCCCTGCCTCCTCTGCCTCTGCAGTTCTGTATCCCTGTTTTGCCCTTAACCGTTGTTGTAACATTTGTCTTACATATTTGTGAGCTTCGGGAGGAAAAGAATAATTCTTATATTATCATCTTATTTGTAAGAGACTGCCTGGCCCGTAGTACGTGATCGATACGTATTAAAGAAATGGATGACATTTATCCTTATTCTAGGAACTACCATTTGCTTTTCCTGTGGCTGCTTCCCCTCCTGACTGTTGTCACCAAAGGAGTCTGAATCTGCTGGCGCTTCCCATGATATCCTAGTGGCACCCAGGGTCATACCTCTGGCCTTCTCCTTCTGGCTGCTTCTGCCCAGCTCGGCCCTTCCGCCCTTAGGAACCACTCCTTCCACCCTAGAGAACCAACCCCTCAGCTGACTCCTGACCCCTCCTCAACACAGCAGTACCCTGGATACAAAGAGCCGGGTGAGGTGCCCTCCCGACCCACTCCCTTAGACCCGCTGTCAGCCACCGAGGCTGCTGCCGGAGCCCCAGGCAGGGCCTTCTCTCCCTCCCCCGGGGCTGGGCACATCTCCCTGCATTTCTTGGATGTCCACTCAAGCTGCATGTTGAGATTTCTGTCTCCAACCCCCTGATGAGGCCCAGGTGGTGGACAGTTCCACCCTAATAAGAACCCGGGTCGCCTCGAACCCTGGTTGCTTTCCCTCCAGTTCTCTCTCACTGTCTCCTTGAACCTGATTTGTGGTGTCTTTCATGATACACATATTTAAACTTTTGATCCACTCAACTCTGTCCATTGTTTCCTTTCAAACTTATGAGTTTGAAATAGTCATCATTTCTAACTAACATCATTTCATTTCTGCCATATAATACCATTTGCTTAGCCATTGCCTATTGCTTTCATTTCTTTGGACTGACATTAGCAGCACAGTAGCTTTCTATGTTCTATCTAATGTAACCCCAGGATAATATTGTTGGGCTGAAGTTTTGTGGCGGTTAATGCACATTTGCACACCACTCTCTAGAAATGGTTCAAGGTTATAATTCCTCAAACAATGTAGATTAATAGTCACTGATTCAATTTCTTTAATGGCTATAGGGTTATTAAAATTTGCTATTTTTTTCCCCATCAGTTTTGCTATTAAGTTTTTCTAGGAAATTTGTGATAGCCTCTAATTTCTCAAATTTCTGCTATTTCTGTAGTTAGGTTTCCACTTTCAAGGCTAATATTTAACAATTTCCATTATAATAGTCTTCATTGTTGTTTTTTTAAAGATTTATTTATTTATGCATACAAGAACTGGGGTATAGGCCAGAGATTTGCGGGGTGAGAGGATTCACTGGTGACAGAGTGGGGAGCAGAACAGGCAGACTGACTGAAATACACTGCTGAGGGGAGCAGCGGGCAAGTCAGAAGAGGTCTGCTGCGCCATGTGGGTCAGCAACCTGGCCAGAACTAGTGCCACAGTGGCTGATGATAGCTTGACAACACTGTTGTTAACCCCTGCTCCGCTAGGGAGGCCCTAAATCTTCTACATCCTTACTGATTTTCAGTCTGCTTAGTAATTCAAATGCTGGATGAGACATATTCAATTCTCCCACCACAGTGACAGATTTTTCTCCTTGTAGTTATGTTGGATTTTTTAAGACTTTCTTATTTTAGAACAGTTTAGGTTGATAGCAAAGCAGAGAGGAAGGCACAGAGATTTCCCATATGCCCTCTGCCGCCCCAGGCAGAGCCTCCCCATTTATCCGCATCCTCTGGAGAGCGCCACGTGGTGACTAGATGAAACTGGACCGACAGTGATCGTTCGGTCTCTGTTGACATTCAGCAGGTTTGGACAAATATTTAATGACATGTATTCACCATCACAGTATCGTATAGTTTTCATTGCCCTGACGATCCTCTGTGCTTCGCCTATTCATCCCTTCCAGTCCTGAGAAACCAGTGATCTTTTAACTCTCTCCATAGTTTTGCCTTTTCCAGACCGTCCCATAGTTGGAATCATACCATATACAACCTTTTCAAACTGGCTTCTTTCGCTTAGTAACATGCACTTAAGTTTCCTCCCTGTCTTCTCATGGCTCGATAGCGCATTTCTCTGTAGCATGGAATAATATTCCACTGTCTGGATCTACCAGTTTATTTATCCATTCACCTACTGAAGGACATGTTACTTCTAAGTTTTGGGCAATTATGAATAAAGCCGCTGTAAGTATCTGTGTCCAGGGTTTTTGTGTGGACCTAAGTTCAACTCCTTTGGGTAAATATCAGCGAGCACAATGGCTGGATTGTATGGTAAGAAAATGTTTAGTTTTACAAGGAACCGCCCAAGTGTCTTCCAAAGTAGCTGTACCATTCTGCATACCCAACAGCAGTGAGAGTTGCTGCTGCTCCACATCCCTGCTGGCGTCAGTGTCGTCTGCATCGTGGATTTGGGTCATTCTAATAGGTGTGTGGTCAGTTTTTGCTTTAGATATTTTGAGGCTGTTATTAGATACCTTCAAATTTAGAGTTATTGTACTTTCCTAGGGATTAAACTTAAAAAAATTATTTATTTATGCATAAAAGAGCTAGGGTGTAGGCCAGAGGTGTGGGGATGGGGGGGGCAGGGGGGCGGGGAATGGTGAGAGGATTCACCACAGACAGAGTGGAGGGCAGAAAAGGCAGACTGACTGAAATACACTGCTGAGGGGAGCAGCAGGGAGACAGGAGAGGTCTGCTGAGGCATATGTGGGTCAGCTCACTGGCCGGAGATCAAACTTGTGATGCAGTGGCGACTGCTTGATAGTGCTGAGACTTAACCCCTTGTGTCACCAGGAAGGCCCCCCAGGGATTAAACTCAGGGATTAAAGTTTTGTGCATTCTATAATGACACCCTTTTACCTATAAAGATTTTCACCTTAAAGTCTCTTTAGTCTAATGTGAGCAATGAGACACCAGCTTCCTTTTGTCTAGTGTTACTTAATAAGCCTTCCGTTTTTCTGCTTGCAACCTTTTTTATCTATTTGGGTTAATCTCTTAAAAATTGCATATAAGTATATTTTGCTTTATATAACTTTTGAAAATCTGTTTCTTAGGGGATGATTTTATACAATTTATATTTATACAATTTATATGATTTTATACAATACATCTAAGTGTATATATTTAGATCTATTTTTACCATTTTATTTTGTGCTTTTTATTTGTTCTTCCTTTTAACTTTCATTTTTATTTTAGTTTCTTCTTTTTTCCCCCTGTCTTCCTTCAAATGGATTTTTTTTAAATTCCACTCATTTTCTTCTCTGCTGGCTTGAAGTCTTACATTCCATTTCTAATTTTTTAGAGCTTAGCCTTAACATATTTTACATGTGTATTCAATAAAGCTGATCAATATGTCTAATCTCTTCCAAGACAATTATCCTCAACTTATTTCTTAATATTGTCCAATAATGTCATTCAGTCCACCTTTCTTGCCCCATATGTTAACATAATTATTATTCGTTGATTAGATTTTCCACATATTTCTGATTTCTGGTTTCTGATTTTGATCGCTATTTTTCCTTGCATTTTAAACTTTCTGGAATTTTGAAATAGATTCCTTTTTTCTGAATGGACTACATAACATTTCTTTTAATAGAGGAATATTGGTAATATTGGTAATAAATTCTCTAATTTGAAACTTATCAAAATTGTTTTTGTTTCTCCTTATTCTTGAAAGATAATTTTCTGAGACTAAAATTCTAGAATGGCAATCCCTCTTTTCTCAGCATATTAAAATATGCTTCTTTTCTTCTTAATGTCCTCTCATTGTAAATCAACAGCTTTGGGTGTGCATTTCTGTTTATTTAATCTTCCTGAGATTTTTGTGCTTCCTGGGTTGGCATATTTATGCTTTGCAATATATTGCAAATATATTTATTTATACATACAAGAACTGGGGTGTAGGCCAGAAGTGCTGGGGGGGAGAGGATTCGCCAGAGACAGAGTGGGGAGCAGAACAGGCGGATTGACTGAAATACATTGCTGAGAGGAGCAGCAGTCGAGACAGGAGAGGTCTGCTTGCCATGTGGGTTGCTCCCTGGCTGGGGATCAAACTCAGGCCATAAATTTGATAGCACTGAAACTCAACCCTTAGGCCATCAGGGATGGCCTCAGGTATTTCTTAAAATACTGTTTCTACCCAATTTTCTCTATTATCTCCTGTATCCTCCATGCAACTTCACCTTTATGTTTACTAGGTCTCTAACTCAATGAGCTACATCCTGGATAATTTATTCTGATCTGTTTTCCAGTTCATTAATTCTTACACCATCTGTGTCTAATCTGTTTAACTCACTCATTGCATTTTTTAAGTCAATCTTTTTATTTATGTAAGTTTTGTTTCTTCAAATCTACTTGTTCATTTTTATGCTTTTATTTCTTTCTCATAGTTTTAAGCTTCTCTTTGATTTCTTAAAACATATTGAATATACTTTAATAGTGTGTGCGATAATCCCAGTATCTTAATTTTTGCAAGTCTGGTTTTACCTGCTGTCATCTTGCTGGTGCTCACACATGGTGTCTTCTTTCCCTGTGTTTATGACTCTTTGAGTATGAGTTCATGCTCCCTGAAACTTTACCTCTGGAACTTCTTTGAGGCCTGGGGTAGAGCTGTGCTCCTCCAGAGAAGATGTAAATTTTCCTCTGTCAGTTAACTGGGGCCACTGTCAACCAGGTGCCATTTCCAAATGAACCGTGAACTTTAGAGGAAGATTAGTTCAGCTTCCAAGTCGCATTACAGCAGGGTTGTCACTGATGCTCAGGGAAGGGTTTTTTCTCCCTTCTGCATAGGATCAAGATCAAGATAGGCAAGATTCTCTGCTGCCTTTGATCATGACAAATTTACTTTTCGTTCCTCCTTTGATAGAGAGTGGCGTTGTTCGAATCCCAATGCTCAAGAAATCTCCCGTGGGTCTCCAGTACTACGTGCACCCCGGCTTGATCTCTTTTGTCTCTCATCTCCTCCAGTGCACTAAGCACTCACACTGATAGCCCAAGGCTACCAGGGTTTGGTTTGGCAGAAACTCTATAGTCTAAAAGCTGACTTAAAGCGCACTTTTCCCCTGGAATACCATTTTCACTGTGCGTTTTTACTCTGAGAATTTCTTATTTTCTTGCCAACTCAGTGCACTTTCTATTTTATTTTATTTTATTTATTTATATATTTTTTAATCCAGCTTAGGAGTTCCTTTCACTGGGATGCTTACTATTGAAATGGAGGGCTGAGTACTCTTCTAGTCTCCGCTTTACTGATTATGTCCACCAGATGACAGGCCGATCTCTATTCCGACTGCCTGCCTAGATGGGCAGCTCTCCCGGGTGCAGCCTCTAAAGCCCTAGGATGGATGTCACCAGCGAAGGCTTGTGAACACCTTTAGGGCAGCTGTGGCTTTAGCTCCTGTTTGCTCACTGGGGATTATGGACACCATCAAACTCTGTAGACTCAGTGTATCTGTGGGGACCACCATGTGCATGGAAGAAGGAACATTTCTGTGACTCTTCTCCCTGTCCTTGTTTTTCTCAAGATTTATTTATTTAGACTGCACTGGGGTACAGTCCAGAGATGTGGAGAGGGGGTAGTGAGAGGATTCACTGGAGACAGATGGGGAGCAGAACAGGCGGACTGACTGAAATACACTGCTGAGGGGAGCAGTGGTGAGACAGGAGAGGTCTGCTGCGCCATGTGGGTAGCTCCCTGGCCGAGATCAGGAGATGAACTTGGGGATTGAACTCATGCTGCAGTGGCTGCCGATAACTTCATAGTGCTGACAACCACTTGTGCCACCAGAGAGACCCCCATGTCTTTGTTTTGCTGCTGCTTCCTCAAAGCAGCTGTGGGAGGGGCTCCTCGCTATGTCCGTCTGCCAGAGCAGGTCTGCCGCGTGCACTGTACGCACTGGATCCAGAGTAAGATTTGTTTTGCACTAAATCCCACAGGGGGTCGCTGATATCTGTGCTGGGCTCCTCCCTGAGCAAGAGGGCTGTCACCTGAGCTGCAGGTGAGACAGGAGACAAGGCATTCCTACCGATCCCCTGCTCTGGGGAGGGCACCCCTTCCCCCTGACTCTCTAATCCTGTTCTGGTTCCAGTTACAGGAATGATGTTTCCTTTGATGATGAAAATGCTAGTGCTGCTGCTGCCCCTGGCCCATGCTGCCCCCAAGGACGGAGCCTTGAGGTAACAGGATTCGGAGGGGGGCACTGTGGCCTAGAGCAGGGGGAGTCTCTGGAGATCCCAAGGGTGTGGTGGGCCCCTCTGGGAGGCAGGGGACTGGGGCGTGTATTCCCTGACGCGTATCCCTCTCCCCCACCTCACCTCTGCCTTGTGCATTCAGTTCATGTCTGTGGGGCTCCCTGGGAAGCTGGGAGCTCAGTCCAACGAGGGGCGCAGCACAGGGAAGAAGCTGCTGGTGGGGAACGGGCTGCAGTTCTCATCAAGACCTTACAGCGGCGACTCCAGGGGAATTGAGATCATTAGTGTATTATTTGTTTCACCTGAATGCCATTCTCAAGGTGTCATGTAGCAGTACATGCAGGGGTGGGGGTGCTGATTGGGATAGAGGACAAGTGCAGGAGCAGCGGCAAGGGCTGCAGCAGTGATGCAGTTGCTTCAGCAGCTCTGCTGACTTGCCAGCGTCACAGGTCTGGATTGACTTGGCAAACAGGTGCCCCTGTCCAGAACTGGGAGCAAACCCCGAGCTTTAAAGACTGACAAAGGATCCTGAGCAGACTGAAACTCTAAAACCAGCATGTATGCTTGGGAAAAAGTAGAGTCCCATTTGGGCCAGGGGAGGAAATCAGGTCCGTGTGAGACTGGGCAGTGCCCCCGGGCGCAAGCGCAGACCTGCCCTTGGCTCCTGGGCTTTGGCTGCTTTGCCCGTTACTGGCTTTCACTGTCCAGCTTGTGTCTGTTGGGTGCGGCCTCATCTGGCTGCTACCTACCAGAGGTTTTGAGATTTTACTCAGCAGCTAAGCTAGGAATCTGGAAAAGCAGTCTCAGTAAGCTCCTACTTCCAAGGAGGCTAGAAGGCCTCCTCCCACAGGATTCCTAGGAAACTCCCTCTAGGTCTGGGGAGAGAACTCTGACAAGAGATTGGGGGTGAAAGACAGGGAGGCTGGGGCCCAGGGAGGCTCTTTGAAAGGCCAGGCCTTCCCTCCCCCTCCAGGCTGGACCCTGAAGTACAACACCAGCCCTTGCTCAACCCCTTCCAGCCAGGCCAGGAGCAACTCCGGTGAGTAGGCTGCGCTGGGGCCTGAGGACTTGGCCGTGGCTGCAAACTAGGCCTCTCCTGGGCTGATTTTCCACTTTTCTGACAGACTTCTGCAGAGCTACCTAAAGGGACTACAGGGGATGGAAGAGGAACCGGATCACATGAGCCGGGAGCAGGGTGAGGGCCTAGGCTGATGGGGGAGGCTCGGGCCGTTCTAGCTGGGACTGACCTTGGGCCAGGCGTGGCCTCCTGCCTTCGCCTGCCCTGACGCTGCTTCTGATCAGGCTGCTCTTCCTCAGTTCTCCTCTACCTCGTTGCCCTGCATGACTACGACCAGAGTGGACACCTGGATGGCCTGGAGCTGCTGTCCATGTTGACAGCAGCTCTTGCTCCTGGAGCTGCTGACTCTCCTGCCCCCAACCCGGTAAGCCCCATTGGCTGGGGGGTCCCCTTCTCCTGTGAAGGAGACCCAGCTCCTAAGGGCTTTGGTCTCTTTCATCCGGACCCCTTTGGTGAATCCCCCGTGAAAGGAGGGCTCAAAGCCTGGCTGGCAGGGATGCAGGGGTGTGTTGGGCAGGGCAGGGCCCCTGGTCACTGTAGACTCCATGGTGACCGTGTGCTTCCACAGGTGATCCTGGTGGTGGACAAGGTGCTGGAGACCCAGGACCTGAATGGGGATGGACTCATGACCCCTGGGGAGCTCATCAACTTCCCAGGAGAGGCCCCAAGTCAGGCAGAGCCCAGAGAGCCCCTGGAGCCACAGGATATTGGGAGGCAGCCCCTGTCCACTAAAATCCCATCAGGACAAGAAGCACAGGAAGCCCCAGACCCCAGAGACCAAGCTGGGGGACCAGAGGAGTCCAGAAGGGGATCTGTGGAGCCTGCACAGGAAGCTGGGGGCCCAGTTGAGGCCGAAGGAGAAGCCCCAGGTCCTGGAGGGGAGACTGGGCACCCGGCTGAGGCTGAAGGAGAAGCCCCAGGCCCTGGAGGGGAGACTGAGGGACAGGCAGAGGCCCCAGACACTAGAAAGGAGGCAGAAGAGCTTCCACAGGAAACGCTGGAGTCTAGGAACACCCCCGATGAGTTTGAGGCTCATGCTATTCAACTGGAGAACGATGAGATGTAAACCTTTCCCCCCTGCAAGTGTGAGCGCCAGCGCATAAGCTCTGAAGGGTGCGTCTCTGGAGAAGGACCACCTCCGTGTCCCCTTCCCAGCCCCCGCGGGGGCGGGTCTTTCTGTGCAGGTCTGGGAGACCCTATATTGAGGGGCACCTCTGGAGTCAGCCCACCAAATAAAGAACCGAATGAACCGTGCCCCGGGCATGTCTACAGTGTGCCTGCCAGACCCGGGGGCCCAGCGGGGGGGAACTGGGCAGGTCTTGGAGAAGCAGGGATGCGGCTTTCCCCGTGTCCCCGGCCAGTGCTGAGACGCAGCGGAGTACAGCACCAGGCCATGGCCGGCTGCAGACCGCCCTGGGAAGAGCGCCAGCCCTCCCGGGAGCCCACATACCGCGGTGCCCCCTCTCCTGGTGTTCCTCCGGGGCTCATCTTCCGCAAGGCCGCATCTGCGCTCTGTGCCCCCGCCGTGTGAACAACAACCTCTCCTGAGAGCAGAGCACACGCCAGCCATCCAGCTGGGCACGTCACCCATTGCCTGATTTTATCCTCGCGATCATTCTAGGATCATGCAGAATTAGTTCCGTTTACCAGGTGAAGAAATTGAGGAAGACGAGTTCAGTCACGTACCCGGGTGACAAAGCTAATTAAGTGGTGGGTATGAACTCGGGTCTTTCTGACGCACATTCTCGGGCCTCGGCCACCCTGCCCTAATCTTCGAGTGGAAACGGGCCCATTCTGCCCTCCAGGCCCGGTCTCCCCACAGGACAGCAACACTGTGGGCAGCCCCATCTGTGGTTGAGGCACTGCCTTAATTATAAGGCTGCCCAAGGACCGGACTTTTAGGCTCTGGGGCAGTCATGGTGGAGATATTTTTAGACTGTGAAGGTGCCACCAAACCACTGAGTTGGCTCAACCACCTGGACACTCTTGGAGCCAAGGGACGAGAGACGAGGGGCAGGGAGGGAGGGTGGGGGCGAGGAACTCTTTCCTGGCCTGTGGTTATTTGGAGGTTTCCCCAGGGTCCAGGAGTTAAGTGTCACCCCACCCCGAGCCACTCTTCACAGGAAGAGCTGGGCACAGGAGGCGGCTGGGGGAGCGACCTGCTGCTCAAGAGTCCAGGCAGCCCCTCCTCCAGGCCTGGGTGGGGAAGTGCCTTGGAGGAATTAAGGAAAAGAGGGGGGAGAACCGTGGTGTCAAAAACCTCAGGAATCCCCACCCAGAGCAGTTTGGGCATGGAGCACAAGCAGACTGCCAGGGGAAGCTGGCTCAGGGCAAGGAGGTTTATTTGCTCTGTGGCATGAGATGCCAGGACTCGGGCAGGGCCCTCCCCAGCCTGCATCTGCCCAGGGAGCAGGGCAGTCCCAGCAGCGGGTTGGAAGGGGGGAAACTGCCAGGAAGCCAGTGATGCCAACCTCCACGGTAGCGGTAGCAGGGACGTGAGCTAGTAGCCCCACCACAGGCTCACACGATGCCATCGTAGCCTTGCAGGCCACACTTCTTGCCGGCCACCTGGCAGCCGAACTGCAAGGCCTCCTGCACAGGCTTCCCTGTGGTGGGGGAGGGAGCGTAGCTGGGTTAACACCGTCCTCTGGGCAGGCCCGGGCCCAGTCCTGCCCCTCCTGCTGGGTACTCACCCTGGGACAGGCTGAAGATGACCGCGGCATTAAAGGTGTCTCCAGCGCCCAGAGTGTCCACCACCCGGGGTGGCGGGAAAGCATCCGAGTGGAGCAGCTTTCCATCAGGGCCCAGGGCGTCAGCGCCCTGCTCAGCCCAGGCACAGACAAGGGTGGCCCTGCAATATTCTCCATCAGCTGGTTGTCAGCCCATCCTGCCCCCCAGCCTCATTCCTCCTCCCACTGCCCCCCCAGGCAGCCCCCTGGGGTCCAAGGCACTTCAGGGCAAGTCCATCAGACTTATTCTTCCCTTTCCAAAGGACTCCGGCCCCACCCTTCAAGCCCTTTCCCTGCTCCCCCCAGCTCACCCTTTCCTCACACGGCTGTATAAGCCCCGCAGGGCCTCCACTGCTGACTGGAACCCCAAGTGCTTGGCCACATCTTTGCTGACAAACACCTGTGGGAAGGGAAGGGGCTGACCCAGCTGCACGCACCACCTGCCGCCTCGCGTTGCCCCAGTTTGTCACACGGCTCCTCCAACATAGCAGCTTGTTGTCCCGCAGAAACACTTTTTTATATTTGACCCAGATAGGCTGGAACACAGCCACATACAATGGGACACAAAAGCCCCCATCTATTGCCCTCAGCTCTGAATTTCCGCGCCATTGAAACCTAAATCAAGCCTTGAGCGCCCTCTTGCGGGGAAATCCAGCACTGCCACTTCAAACCACTGCTTTCAGGAGCCGCTGGTTCTGATGTTTATTCTCACACCACTATGCGCTCTAGGTCTGGTTTCTGTGTCTGAAGCAAAGGGGTAGGGACTCCAGACTTCCTCAATACCAGCTACATACACATTAGAACAGCCAGAGAGTTTTGTTAAAAATATTTCTGCCCAGGCTCTCCCTCTGCCAAATGAAACACCAGCTCTTGCTAGGGTCACCACCCAGCCCCGCTTACATCCCAGCCCTGTCCAAATTTACCTTCTGCAAGTCCCCTTCCCATCCCCCCTCACCCCTACTGGTTCCCACAAGCTGCCACCCATAGCTAGGATCGGAGGATGCCCTGGAGAACACTCCCCTCCTGTTTGACAGAGGAGACCCAGGGAGGTGCTGGCATGCGGGCCTGCCCTGTGGCTGTCTGCAGTGGCCTGCGCAAGCCCTCTGGCTCCCCCCATATGACTCCTTGGCCACAGCTGAGGCCCTAAGTTGGGAGTCTGCCTCTTTGTTTCGCTCCCCACCTGCCAACACTAATGAGCCACGAGTTGCCATTTCAAGTGTGGGGAGGGAACACTTGGGCCCAGTTTAATTAGTAGGATGTGAGGAGGAGAGGCTGCAAGGGCCACTTACCAGGTCTCCGTAACCAAATAGCTGGAACAGTTCCTCTCGGGGCTTTTCCACCTCTACAGACACCCGGATCTTGTGCTCTGGAGGCTGCTGGGCGTTGTGCAGTTCTATCCGCTGCAGCATCTTCACCTGCTCCGAAGCATTCCGACCCTGAAGCAGGGAGGACAGCTCAGGACCTGCCTGGCACTGCCTGGCTCATCTTTCCCTCTCTGCTGGAACTCTGGGTGGAGAGGGGGTGACTGGGCTGGTACCCCACCCTAAGTCTAAAACTTCTAGAGCTGCCACAAACCTTGGAGACCTTATCAATTAGCCCTCCCATTTTATAGACTCTCCTCAGGACCTAGAATAAATAAAATGACAAGGCTAGGATTAGAACTCAGGCCTTCTCAGGCTTCCTCCCATCCAGACTCCAAAACTTCTTTTTGAATGAAAATTCTAGTTCCTTTAATTTGGGATCTGGCCCAGGCCTCTTGCAGGTTCATGCCACCAGTCAAGTGGGAGGGTCCCACACAGAAAGTACAGACCAGGAGCCAGCATCCTGCTACTGGTGACCACACCCTGCTGCGTGACCTTGAGTAAGTTGCTCAACCTTTCTGGGCCTTAGTCACTTCACCCGAAAGCTTAAAGAAGGATGGAGAGGAGATGGGGAGAGGGTTCACGATCTCTACGGTACTTCATGGTTCAAAGAAATCAAGGAGACAGAACAAGTGGAAGAGCTGGCAGGTTGAGATGCTCGAAACACAGAAGGGTGGGGCTTGCCTCAATGTGGATCCACTTGAATCGGTTCAGATCAACCTTCTCAAAGTCTGTAGCAGACACATCAGGCAGGTTCCTACGTCAAGGGTTGGAAAGGACAGAGAAGAAGGAGCCTGGTGAAGTCAGCCTGGGCCAGGGTTGCTAACTGGCTGCTAACTGGTGCCACCTGCAGCACGGCAGGAAGACGCATCTGTAGCACAGGCAGCGCTATAGTTTAGCCAGACCCAGCTAAACTCCTGACCCCTTTTTGTCCCACTAGTTCCATTCAGGCAGGGGACTGGCAACAATCTGTTAGGGTGTATTTCCTGTGTTTGAGGCTCTGATATTATCAGCTTGTGGCAGGGGCCTTGGAGACCACATCTCCCAGAATGCTCTAAGCGCACTGGGACTACAATTCCCAGAATTCCCCTAGGCGGCAGCCCACAGCTCCCAGCATGCTGTGACCGGAGAAAGTACAAAGGCCACTGGTGCCCTGCACGGGTTTTGGCTCTCGTCCCACTCACTTCTGACACCCCATGGAGACAGCACCGCTGTCTAGAGCTGGTCGCTCTGAGCAACAACCCTGAGGTCACAGGGGTGCTTGGGAATGGCTCAGGTGTGGAGACTTGGCAAGGGTTCACCTGGACCTTCCTTAGGCAGAGACTTCATTGTCTTCCCCTCCATGTTCTGCGGTCGAATCCATCGTCCATTTAACTGAGAGAGCTCGGCCTTCTCAAGGCTGCTTCCCCGTGGGTAATTGGGGCCCAAACCCCCACCCTCACAGGCCTGCTGCTGGAGTTAGTGGGCAACAGATGTTTGTCCTGGGAGCTCCTCTTCCCTCCCTGTGCAGCCCCTGGTGTGCTCTTGGTCACAGCTGCTGCGACTGTGCTTAACAGGCGGATGACGAGGCGCGCCCAGCATGAAGGCTGCGTGAGCGTGTGGCGCCCGCCCACTCATCCACCGGGACACGGGGGGGGGGCTCTGGGATCTCTGGTCCTGAGATGTGTGGCCTCTCCCCTGGGCGGCGGCCATGCTGAGGAGTAGGGGCAGCCAGGCTCGGGCCACCTCAGCCCTAACATGGCACCCGGCACACACCAGACCTGAAGTAAACCTCTGAGAGTCTTCAGGCGGGAAGCTGAGAGATTAGAAGGGTCTGGGCTCACTAGGTCTCTCCCTAGTAGCTCGGGATGTTGAAAGGTCCCCTCTCAGCTGACCCGGTTGTGCTGAACCAACGTTCCCCTTCCTGCTCCCTCAGCAATGGCTGCAAGTGGTGTGTGGCATTTAGTCTAGTTTTATTAGGCTGGGAACTCGGGATAAGGAGTCCACTTTCCACAACACCCAAACCCCAGCTCCTCGGTACTCTGCTGCAGGTTGGCAGCTCAGGGGCTGACCTGGAAATATCTGCGGGACCCGTTGGCAACTTAAGATGGCTTCAATCACTTCTCTCATCCCTCTGTCCTCAGTTTCCCCACAACCACACCCACACCCAGGCTGCTGATTGACTAATTATGGAGGAATCACCATAAATTACATTTGGCTAGGCCCGCCTGCCCCTCCTCGGCATTACCAGGGAAGGTCAAGTTGCCCAGCGGAGCCAAGCCCCTCCCCTCCCGCCTCGCTTCTCCCCTCATTGAAACTGATTCACAAATCACTGCAGGTAGGCACGGGGGCAATTTCCGGTACAGAGAGAGAGGCCTCGGAGGATGTGCAACTGGGATGCCCATGGCGGCAAGTGAAGGAACTGATTGGTGGGCTGTGGCAGGGCGAGGCCGGGGGCCTTACGTGTCGTAGAGCACAATGGTACGGGAGCCATTGGCGTTGTTGACGATGCAGCAAGAGCACGGGGTCTCCCCCCTGCTCTGCCAGGCCACCTGAGACACATCCACGCCCCGCAGCCTGAAGTCAGTCACCAGGAAACTTGGGGTGGCGCCCGAGCCAAGGGGAGGGCAAGGAGACACATATTAGAGCCTCCGTGGGGCTCTACGTGAGCTCCCACAGCAGTGGGCAGTAGGGGTGCCGGAGCCCGCAGGCCTCTGAGAGACGCTGGTCCTGTTCTGAGAGTTTAGTGACGGCGCAGCTGGCAAGGTGCAGACAGGGGTACCGACCTGTAGGCGTGCAGGATGGTGCGGCTGCCGCTGGCCTCACTGATGATGACCGTGGAGACGGGGACAGAGCCCGTGGTCTGGAGGACCGTGTACCGCAGGTCCACGGAATAGCGGCGGAGGTCCTCCAGGACAAAGCTGCGGCGGCGGGGGGGGGGGGGGGCCAGGGGAGAGGGGGAGGGCAGGATGGGGGAGAAGTGGGGGGGTGGAATGGGGGGTAGGTACGGTTTCACAAAGGTCTGGGGAAGGGAGGGTTGGGCCCCCAGGGGCCCTGAAAGGCTGGAGTGCAAGCAGAGCGTGAGGGAGCTGGAAATCACCAGGTTCCACAGGCTGTGAAGGGGGCAGAAGCAGCAGGAGCGCACAGGCTGGGGCTCAGCGAGAAAATCACTGAGGGGCATTCATTCAGGTCCGGGCTGAAGCAAAGTCCGACCTCTTCCTTCAGGCATAAAGCTGGAGGAGATAGATTTGGGGCCTAGAACATGTACCCTGTTCGAACCCAGCAGGTGAGGACACTGTGGCCTGTTTCATGCGAGACACAGGCAGATTTAATAATTAATCACCACGGTGATACTTTGCCTCCCAGCTGCCTTCTGCATGCTCTGCCATGTCACTCCTTCCTCTGAAGCCCCTTCCAGACCTGACGTCCTGTGCCTAAGCCTGTCTCTGTGATGCCCAGCCAGGAAGGGGTGCTGCCCGGGTGAGTTTGCTCACTGCCTTCTTCCCTCTCAGGGAGGCGAACCCTCATGGCCAGTGAGCTGGCTCCTGGTGCCTCAGCCTGGGCCTGGTCCAGGGCTCTTGCCCAGAGTCCCCTCCAACCCCAGAGAGCTGGCGGGCAGCACCTGGGGAAGACTGTGCCAGCAGGAGAGTAAGGCCCCAGCCTGGCCTCTCTGGAGATGCAGAGTCCTGTGGCCGAGAACTGGCGCTTATGCCCAGCAGTCTAGCCACCATCCGGCTTTTCTCACTGTGGCTGGGCTCCATTTCGGGCAACGCCAAAGCAGGGCGATACATCCTTCTACAAAAGCACGGAGTCGGGGCATCGTTCTTTGTCTTATACGCAGGGATCCTTTAAACCGTAACCTTCTCCCACATGGAAAAATGGCTTGCTCTGCCTAATAACTTTGGCGCCCAGAGTGCCTAGCACATGGTAGGTGCTCGGGAAATGTCTGTTGAACACCTGGGGAGACTTCAGAATGCCCCGCCCGTCAGCTGCCCGGAAGGTGGCTGCTGGAGAGCGTAGCTCAGCTAGGGGCTCCAGGCCCCTCTGCGCCCCTCCCAGGGCAGGGTCTTGCCCTTATTCCCCTCGTGCCACTTCATCATGGAGAAAATCTGGCTGTGGCCCCGGAGGTTCTGTTAGCAGCGCCTCCTCAGCCAGGGTGCAAAGATCTGTGCATCACGGACCAGCAACCTGGCAGCTTGCCCGCTGTCCGCAGTGGGCAAAGTGTGGGTCACACCTCCCAGAAAGTGCTTGCTGAGTCAGCAGCCCCAGCGGGGCAAAGGGCTCTTGGTGCCTGCAGGGCCTGCGTGGAAAACGCCAGGCCACTTACGGCTGCACGTCTAGGGCCGATGAGCCGTAGACTCATGGGGGGCATGGGCTGAGGCCAGCTTTAGCGCGGGCTTCAGCGTGTACCCCACCCTCGGGCAGGGCACTCCTGCTGCGCTCTGGCCTCCACTGGCAAAGAAGCGCTGGGCCCTGGGCCCGTGAGTGGTGGCCATCCCAGAAGGAGGGCGGCGGAGCACGTCCCCAGCTGCCTTCTGCCACGAGCAGGATAGGAGACTTGCGGAGGGCAAAGTCACATGCACCACAGAGTCTACCAGAAACAAGGACAAAGGTGGGGCAGCTGGAGCAGGCGCCTGGGAATTGGGTTGTAGGGAGAAAACCTTCAACAGGAGCAGCTTTAACACCGACCAGCAGATAAGCCACACCTGGAGGCTGGGTGCTGCCGCCCCACCCCGCCTCCTCCTGCCTGTTCTGAGGAAGAACCATTTCTTACCAGCTGCCGCCCCACCCAGACTTCAGGCTTCCTTCTCGCCCCCCACCCCCACCCTGCGGGCAGGCCTCCCCTGCTTGCTCCTCCACTCACTCGGCAACGTGGCCTGGGGCCAGAGAGCCCATGAAGGCGCAGGGGGCTCCTAGCAGGGAGAGAACAGTGCAGGAGTTGGACGCGTTGCCTCCGCGCTGCCATCGCTGGGACAAGCACCTGCAAAACACAGAGAGGGTCCTGCGGCAGCAGCAGCTGGAGCCTGAGAAGCCGGCTGGTCCCTGCGAAGCCAAGAAGCCGGGCCCTGCAGTGCCAGGGCGGGCCCTTAGACTGTAACAGCAGGGGCTGCTCCTCAGAAAGCATCCGGCTGGCCTGCTCATCCTCTACATGGGCAGCTGCAGCTCTGAGAAGGAAAATGACTTGGCTGAGGTCCAGGTGTGAATCCCCAGTCAAGGCTAAATTCAAACTGACAGTGATTATTTTCTACGCTTCCATCTATTCTTAGGACATCGGGGAACCACTCGCTCTGATCCATCATGATCTCTGTACAACGGCCCATGATCTCTGCACAAGCTGCCTCCTTGAGAGCTGGGTGACCCTGAGGGCCTCTTCCCAAGGGGATCTGATCTCCTGCCTGCACCTGTCTTGAGAGCCCTCTTCAGTAACAAGCACAGGTTAAAGTAAGCCGGGAAGCAAAGCTGCCATTTCTGATGATTTTAAAGCGGGAGAGCTGACTTTCACCATGTCAAACGTTGAAAGATTATTGGGTGGAGAGCGATTTTTCTGCACCCCCCCCTCCCCGTCCCAGCTTTACTGAGGTGCAGTTGATAGACCACGTAAGCGTAAGGCGCACAATGGAATGATTTGATACGAGCAGCTACTGTAAAATGGTTTCCACCATGCGGGGGTTAGGCACCGCATCCATCACCTCATATAATGGCCTTTTGTTTCTGTAGCTTTTTTCCATCTTTACTAAAAATTTAATAAAAGGAAACTAACTCAAGATACACCTGAAGGGCCTTCCTGGTGGCGTAGGGGTTAAAGACGCAGCACTATCAAGCTATCAGCAGCCACTGCAGCACGAGTTCAATCCCCGGCCAGGGAGGTGATCCACACAGCGCAGAAGACCTCTCCTGACTCGTCCGCTGCTCCCCACTCTGTCTCTGGTGAATCCTCTCATGCCCCCCGCCCCGCCATACACACCTCTGGCCTGAAACCAGTTCTTGGGTTCTCGTATGCGTAAATAAATAAATCTTAAAAAAAAAAAATGCTCTGCTGAGCATAAGGATGCTCTCTGGAAGGTTCTGTTATGGGCTCTGAAAGGCAGGCCATTCCTCAGTAGTCTGGCCCAGCTCCAGGTGGCAGCTCCTGAGAATCTCCAACAGCCCTTGGAGCACAGAGTGCCTGGGACAGGTAGGGCTAAGATACCCAGGGAGACAGGGTCCCCACTTGCTTACTCATCTGGGAGGCACCACAGCATCCGGGAGCTAGGCTGGGGGCCCTGGGGAGCGAGGCAGAGAAAGGAAATATGGACAAACAGGCTGCTTCCACCAAGGACCAGAGCCATGGGTCTTGGGGAGGGGGAGCTTGAAGGGCGATGGGCATGGAGAACACAGGAAGGGTCTCTTTAGAGAGGCGGCGTGCCTAATGCCCACCTTCAGAACCAGCCCATCAGGGTGGGAGTTGGCAGGGCCCTCCTTATCTCAGCCTCCCAATAGAAGCCCAAAGGGGGGCCTCCCCGGTGGCGCAGCGGTCGAGCGCTGGGTTGCGAAACTGCGCGCGGCCTCTGCGGCGCCGGTTCGATCCCCGGCTGCTCCCCGGCCACCAGAGGAGGGTCCCACATAGCGCGCAGACCTCTCCTGCCGCCCGCTGCTCCCCTCAGCAGTGTACTTCGGTCCTTCTGCCTGCTCTGCTCCCCGCTCTGGCTCTGGTGAATTCTCTCACCCTCCCTCCCGCACTTCGGACTGTACCCAGTGCTTGTATAAACAAAAAACAAACAAACAAACCAGCAAACAAATAAATAAAGCATGCCTCTATTAAAAAAAAAAAAAAAAGAAGAAGAAGCCCAAAGGGAATGGGACCGCAGCTCTCATGGAAAGAGGCACCTGGGTCTTCCAGTTCCTCCCCAGGCTTTGGGGAACCTGTGACCTGAGAATTGGCACTCTTCTCCCAGGAGGGAACCTAACTCCTCGCTGCGTACCTGGACCAGCAGGCCTCGGTAGATGCGTCACATGGCACAGCAGCACACCTGTGTGCCTGCACACCAGCAAGGGGCTCTAATGTCTGGCAATCAGGGCAACCAAAAGAGGCTTCGGCTCCGTGAGATGGGCAGCAGCAAAGGGACAGGGAGCACAAGAGATGATGGAGGGCTGGAGCTCCAGGCTCAGAGTTCAGAGGCTTGGGTGATAATTACTGCTCTACCGCTCACGAACTGTGTAGCCTTACAAAAATCACTTCATTTCTCCACAACTTTAGCTTCATCATTTACACAGCAAGGATGTGACCCGTCCTCTCATGCTGCCCGTCGGCTGCTGTGAGCAAAGTAGGTGGCGATGCATGTGACAGTGTTATGTGGCCCCAAAGCCTGAAGAATGCCCAGTCTCCCCTCAATCAGCCTCATGGCTGCTGGAGTTGTAATCTCTTGCCGGAGCTAAAACTTGAACTTGCCTTTTATCTAGTTCTTGGCTGAGACAACTGATAACCAAGGAGCAATTCTTGGTGCTCTAAGCTCGAGATTGCACCAAGAGCAAGCCACCTAGGTTGCCTCACAGAAATGCCTTCGTGGGGTTACAGGGTAGTGTGTTCTTATCAAAAGTAAATAGGAGAACTAACAAATGACGCTTCAACTTCTACCAGGCAACCAGAAGGAAGTTTCCCTGCTGTATTGTTCACCCACTTTTGTAAAAAAAAGATCTCTGATCAACTCCTTCAGGAATTCTGCACCAGGAGAGTTTGCTGGTGCAAACCAGCTCTCTGCATAACCCACTGAGTCTCTAAATGTGCCTCTAGTGCCAGCAAGCTCTGAAACTGTAGGGAAGTTCAAACACCATGGTTTTAAATGGTATTAAACAGTCTAATTGCACAAACTTCTCATTGTCAGCTGCCTCAGAAAACGTAAAGAAAACGGAAGGTATATGATAAACTAGGCGTGAATGCTGGGGAGAAGCAGGTGCTTAGGTCTTGTTAAAAAGCAAAGAATCTGGCCCTGCCCTTGACTAGCTGTGTGCCCTCGGACACAACACTTTATACCTCAGTCTCCACTTGCCTGGAGGTAAAATGGGGTAATGATCCCCACACAGTCCTCCGGCTGCAAAGGGAACTGGCGGTGGCAATGCCATGCAAAGCCTGGGTCTCATTACCAAAGGTCTCAACTCTGTCCCCCGAAGCGGGGGAATGGGGTACGCGGCACCAGCCCCTCGGCTGGACTCCCACGGACCCCCTGCCCCGGTCCTGGCTCCGCGGACGGGTGGCCTTCGCCGCGGGGCACAAACGGGGCGCTGCCGCGGCCCCTGAGGTCTCCAAGGGCCAGGGCGCCCCTACCTGGTGTCCGTGTCCTCCTCCGGGTACGTGTCCACCACGCTGATGATGTCCAGCACCACCAGCCCCACGCACAGGATTTGCTTCTCTTCCATGTGGCCACTCTCCGAGCTGCCGCCCGCGCGCCGACCCGGCTGCTCCCGCGCGTGGCCTCTCACCCCGGGGCGCCGCGTCCCGGTTCCGGGGGCTGCCCCGGCTCCTCCTCCGCGGCCCGGGCTCCTCCTCCAAGGGCCGCCGGCGGCGGGAGGGGCGCGGAGCAGCGCGGGGCGGAGCAGGGCCCGGCCGCCCCCGCCCGCCGCGTGGCAACGCCTCCCGCTTTCCGGCCTCGGTTTCTTCGCTTGCAGACGGACTTGGACCCCCCGAAAGCGCGGCGCGCAGGCCCCTGAGCACAAGGGGAAGAGCGCCGGAAAGCCGCCCGTGCCCCGCCCCTCCCTGCAGCTGCGCCCCGCGCTCCAGATCCGCGCGGTTCTCAGGCTCCTGGTAGGCGAGGCCGGGCTGCGGCTGTCAGCGGCGGCCGGCCCCGCCCCGCACCACGCCTGCCCCGCCCCGCCCCGCCCCCGCCCGCGCACTGCTCCACTCCGCGCACTTCCCACGCCGGCTCCGCCCCGCCCCGGCCCCGCCCGCGCACTGCTCCGCTCCGCGCACTGCCCCGCCCCGCCCCGGCCCCGCCCCTCGCCCTGCCCCGGCCCGGCCCTGCCACGCCCCGCGCACTGCCCGCCCCGCCCAGACCCCGCCCATCCCGGCAGAGGCCCCGCCTCCACCACGGGGAGCCCCGCCCAGAAAGTGAGGGGCGGCGGTCACGTGAGGAGAAATTCGGCGGCGCGAGCTAGGCTTCCAGCGCCCCCTGGCGGGCACCGGCGGAGGCGGCGCGACCCGCGGGAGGACCGGCCGGGGCTGGGAGCCGCGGGCGAGCCGTGCGGTCTGCGCGCCCCGAGCAAGTTCCTGCAGAGCCTCCCAGCGCGGCGCGAGGGTCCGCAGCCCCGTTCTCCCCCGAGCCCATCCCTTGTTTACTCCTGGGTACCCCAGAACACATACTGGAGCCGACGTGCTTTGTTTTTTAGAAAAAACTAAGTGTCTTTATTCCTGAATAGTTTAGTATGGCTGTGGGCCCGGAGGCTCTGGAGCCCAGGGAACCGCCTGGAGGGCCAGTCGGGGAGCGCAGGCTGCAAGGATCGGCTCCTCCGCAGTCCAGGTCCTGCAGGGGATGGCGATCAGGCCAAAAGTCTGGACGAGGGAGCCCCGGAGTCCTGCCCGGCGCGCTCCGCGGTGGCGAGCAGGCTGCTCCGGGGGCGCGAGCCGCGGCGGACCCCGAGACCGCGGCTCGCCAGGAGCTGGGGTGCCAGGCGTGGCCGCCGCCCCGGCTGACTCCCGGCCGGCGTGGACACTGCGGACAGTCCGGCCCGCCCCCCGTCTACGCCTGCTCCAGCTCCGGGTCCCCGTACAGCAGGGCTCCGCTGAAGATGGTGAGCGGCTCCTCCGAGTGCGCCAGCTGCCCCATGACCAGGTCGATGCAGACCGTGTCCCCGGCCTCCAGCGGCAGGATGAGGCTGAAGACGCCCAGAGCCCCGGGGCTGGGCTGGCTCTCGGCGACCGGCTTGTTCTCCAGACCCTCCGGCTCGTAGCCCCCCGAGTCTATGCGGGCCACGCCCAGGTTGGATCGAGACAGCACCGCCTCCACTTTCTCGTGCCGGTGTCCAGTCAGCACTGCGCTGAGCAAGTAGCGGCCGGCCAGGGGCGCGGTGAACACGCCTGGGGACCGGACGACAGTCAGAAGGGGTAGCAAGTGGCTGGCGCCAGCAGGATCTCGGGGAGCCGACCCTGAACTCCTGGTCTAGGGAGGGACCCACTGGGTCTTTCCACCTCTCTCTCCTGGCATGTCAGCTCCCGGAGGGCGGGGAATTTGCTCTGAATCCCCGGCACTTAAAACAGTGCCCGGGCAAGGCCAGCCCCCAGAGAAAGAGCTGCTGTAGTACAAGCCACCCCCTCCCCCACCACTGGCCAAGCAGTCCTGAAATGAATAAATGAAGCATATGTGTCTCCCTGAAGCGGAGAGTGAAAAGACTCGCCTGCCTAAGAGGCAAGATTGGGAACATATCACTGCACAGCCCCTCCCCCAGCGCCCCCCAGCCCTTCCCCCCGACCCCACCAGTGTTCCCAGGTACCTGTCTCTGGGTCGTAGTAGCCCCCATCGTTGAGCAGGACTCTGTCGAAGGGCACTGTGCCTGGTTCAGACCGGGGCAGACTCAGGGCAGCTGAAAAGGCCACTCTGGGCACAGAGACTGCTGGTGCCCCCTCCACTCCTGGATGGGGGTGGGATGGGTATTAGATTGGCCCCTTCATGGACCCCACCCCTCCCCACCCTCTACCCCAGGGCTGCCTGAGGCCTGGCATTCTCCAATCCCTCCCTCCAGCATCCAATGAGAGGAACTCACCTTGTTCACCTTGGGGACCTGGGAGGAGAGGAAAGGGAACAGTGAGAAGTAGAGCAGCAATCACTAAGTCACTCGGCAAACATCTGCTGAGTTCCTCCCACTGCGCTAGGTGCTGTGCAGACTTCCATGCAAGAAAGCGGGTATCAAGAAAAGGAGGCATGGGGCCTCCCTGGTGGTGCAAGGGGTTAAATCTCAGCACTATCAAGCTGAGATACCCACATGGCGCAGCAGACCTCTCCTGACTCACCTGCTGCTCCCCTCAGCAGTGTATTTCAGTCGATCTGCCTGTTCTGCTCCCCACTCTGTCTCTGGTGAATTCTCTCACCAACCTCCCCTACACTTCTGGCCTGTACCCCAGCTCTTGTATGCATAAATGAATAAATAAATAAATAGAAAAGGAAGAATAGATCAGACCCATTCTGTACAACTGCTGTGCCATAAGCCCTTACTGCCAGTTTTCCACTCCCTGCATAACCCCTGTAGGCTCAGCCTTCGTCTTCAATACAGTGAGGCCAACATACCCAATTATGCAACACGGTGACTACCCAGCCCCTAATCACTTTCTTAGTCATTGTCAGCCAGGGAGGACCCCCAATTCCTCACCATTCTCCCTGCTTCTCTATCAAGTTCAGAGTAGAATGTCAAGCCTGGGATTGCTCAGGGGATGGTGCCCTGGTTCCAGCAAGGATCCCAGCCCACATACCTGGAGGCCCAATGGGCCCCTTTTGTCCATCCTTGCCTGGAGGTCCTGGTGGTCCAGCAGGGCCTGGGGGTCCCTGCAGCCCAGGAGGCCCGGGGGGCCCAACCTCACCTGCAGGCCCTGCAGCGACAAAACTAAGTTGAAGGAGAGACACAGCCAGAGTTTCCGAAAGATAAGGAAGGTGGTGGCCCTGGGGATGGGAAGATGGGTGAACAGGTGGGCGTCTGTAGGTAGACAGGGCCCCTCACAGCCTGGCTGGCTGGATACCTGGCTGGCAAAGCAGCCCCTACCTCCATGCACCCACAGACCTATCTGAGCTGCTAGGGGAGGGCAGGGAGCTATGTCTCATAGACAAATCAACCCCTGGGACAGTGGTGCTTGACGATCCATGCTGGGCAGAACAAGGAGAAAGATGAGGGTGAGGCTGGTTGCTGTGTGTTAGGAGAAAGAAAAAGAAAGGCTTGAATGAGGTCCCCCCACCTCCCTGCTTTGTGCCCCTCACCGGTGAAGTCCTTCAGGCTAAGCTGGTGCAGCCGGTCCTCTAGGAGCAGCAGGGAGCTGTTCAGGGCACCAAGTCGCCTGCCCAGGCCGGCCTGCCCCCCGAGGAGCTTCTCCAGCAGGGCTGCCTGTGTCTGGCTGGTGCTGTTGCTTTCCCGCAGCCCAGCCCAGAGTCCAGCCACGTGTCTGGAAAGGCCTTCACGCAGGCCCTGCAGTCCCCCAGCCACAGTGTCCAACCGTTCACAGACTCCCTCCAAACGGCCCAATCGCCCCTCTAGGCTGGGGCATTGGCCAGCCTGTGCCTGTCCTTCCTCCAGGCCTCGGAAGCGCTCCTCACTCTCCGTGGCATGCTCTGTGGCCTCCTGCTGCAGCCTGTTAATCTCAGAGATGATGCGGTCCTTGGTGGCTCCCAGGTCAGCCAGATCAGCGCCCTGGCCCTCCACGGTGGTCTGGAGCTCATGCAGTGAGTCATTGAGGGAGCTGAAGGTGAGAATAACCTCGGAGAGCTCTCCTTGCAGGGCCTGTAGGGCTGAGCCTGAGCTGCCCCCAAATACACTGAAGCCGTCCAGAGGCCCACGGCTTGGTCCCCCAACACCAGAACCTGCCCCAGGGCCCCGAGGGGGTAACAGGGGGCAGGAGCACCGCTCCACACCATCGCGAAGGCGGCCCAGTTCCTCCTGGACACCGCCACAGGCCCCGCAGCCCTCATCCCCACGGGCCTGCAGCAGACCCTCCAGTTGGCCCAGTCGTGCAGCTGTGAGATTCAGCCGCAGTGTCAACTCTGCAGCTGTCTCATCCAGGGCATCTACGCGAGCCTGCAACTGGCCCACAACCCCTTGCAGTCCCTGCAGCTGGGCCTGCTGGGCCTCCCCAGCGGCCCCCACCTTATGCAAGCCCGAGCCCACCAGCTGCAGCTGCCCCTCGCTGTCCTGCACCCTGCGCTCCAAGGCACTGAGGATCTCGCTGACCTGGGAGTCCTGCTCCCCTGGGGCCCCAGAGCAGAGCTGGCCACACTCCTGCACTGCCCCTGCCACCTGCTCTTCCAGAAAATCTAGCCGCCCACCCAGCTCCCCGCTCACATTGGCCAACAGTCCCTCCAGCTTCTCTAGCCGGCCCCGGGCAGGCGGCCAGTGGCCCAGCCCCCCAGGACGCGCGGGCCAGACCTCCCCCTGTTCCTCTGAAGGGCCCAGGGTGGAGTTGAATCGGTCCTCCAGGCGAGAGAGGCGCGAGGCTAAACTGGTGTAGCCTGGGGGGTGGCCCCCCTGGCCGGTTGCGCCTTCCAGATCCACGCCTCGCCGCCCACTCAGCACCGTCACTGAGCCGGCCACGACGTCCAGCCTCCGCTCCAGCTCTGCCAGTCTCCGGCCCAGCTCGGGAGGGCAGCATTCCTGAGAGGGCCTGCGGCCCAGGGCCTGGCCGGCAAGCTGCCGCTGCCGCTCCTCCACCGAGCCCAGTAGCTTCTCCAGGGCTCGCAGCCGTTCCCTGTCCTCCTGCTGCTGCCGGCGGAAACCATCCAGCCCTGCCAGGCACACGGAGCAGGACTCCTGCAGCCGCCGCTCCAGCTCCCGCAGCAGCTCCTCGCTGTGGCCCGGAGGGGCTGGGGCCAGGTTCTGGGTC